ACCTGTCCAGGGTGTCCCCTGCCTTCACCCTAAGTCAGCTGGGATAGGCTCCAGTCCCCCCGCGACCCTAGTGAGGATTAAGCGGTGTATAGATAATGGATGATTCCAGACTCTTAATTTTTTCTCCTGAACTTTGACAGTAACTTGAATGTTTTTGGGTTGTGGACTAAACAAGATATTTAAGGATGTCATCCTGAGCTTTTTGAAACAGTAATTGACATTTTTCAAATAAGCAGAACAACCAGTCAAGTAACTGAGAAACTAATCCTCAAGAAAATAGTTGTATATTACAGTCTTGTTTTATGAATGTCAGACCTGTACCTGAATGAAATGCAAAAAAAAAAAAAATACCATTGCGATTATTTTTCACAGATATCATGACTGCAATGTTTTCTAATGGGAATAGTCATCCTTGTTCTTTCTTTTCCACTGAACAAAAAAATGTTAAAACAAAAAACGATTATGTGAGTTTTGCTGTTGTCTGTACCAAGCAAGCAAGTGTGTTCCATCTGGAGAATATGATTTGTAGTCAAATCTCTGTAGCACCACAATGTTTCATTCGTAATGGTGTTTTATGATATTTGACGTTTATCAAAAACAATTGTAGCTCCATCAATTTGGATGTGGCACTCAGCCATACTGTGATTTCAATCATATTTTGATTAATTGCTCAGCTTCAACCAGGAACAACTTTGTCAAACTGTCCTCTTAAATAAAATCAATGCTTTGCAGAATCAAGACAGAAGCCGTAACTCCTTAACATATTGCACCATGTTGCACCTAAAACAAGGTGTTTATATAAATGAGCTCTTTAGTTTCTGGACACCATTTACACAACAGCAGCCACCTTCACCTAAGCAGCACATTCAACAAATCAATCAAAGGAAATAAAAATTGTAATTCAACAGGTTTTGTTGGGATTTTCATGTTTTTCTGCACCTTGCCATACATCTTAAGTATATCAAAAGAAACAAAAATCATCTTGATAAAATTGAACAGTGTTCACTGTCGACCTAGAAGGAGGTGACTCTTGAGAGAAAATTTAAAATCATTATTCAGTTCATCAGCAATATGCACTCTGATTTGGGTCAGTGAATAAAAGAGGTTACCTTCTAACTGATGTTTCATAAACAACTTGCAAATTAAATAGTGAGTTAAAGTGATATTAATGGGCAACAAAATAAAACGACTCATAGAATAAACCAAGGAAAGTAAAGCAAAATTAACAAATCAAGTAAAAGAAAAATAAACGGAATAAGTGATTATTTAAAGTGGCTAAATGGAAAAAAATAATCATTTATTACATTTTGGATTCTCTTTCTACTGTTTTATGTTCACAGGAATAAGCAAAGTTTCAACTAAATCCATGTTGACATAGATTTTTCTGAGTTTCTTTCCCAAGTTATTTAAATAGAAAGGAGAGGAATAAAAAGAATATCAAATTGGAATTTTTACAAAACTCAGACAGTTTAAAATCTCTCCACTATATTGATTTATGATGACTGATGATCAAATATCTCATCATTACATGTTATTATATCAAACAGCAGGTATTGGTCAAATCCAAACCACACATTAAAGTCACATTAATCAGGTGAAATCCTACCTGACCAGAGGCAGTGGGTTTCCTCTCACTCTACATTCCAGTCGGATGGGGGTTCCCTCTGCTACCTCCTGACTCTTCAGCTTCTGGAGGAAGCGAGGAGGTGACAGGGGTCCTGCTGCTGTTGGAGCTCCAGAGTGTTGGTACCTCACTGAAGCTGCGACTCCCACCGGACCTCCAGGCTGAGGGCCCGTCTCCGGCTGGCTATACTGAGCTTCCTCCTGCTGGCTGGGAGGCAGAGAGGGAGCAGAGGCTGAGCCCTGAGGGACCGGCCGCTGGCTTCTGGGAGACAGATAACCGCTATCAGGAGATGAAGAATCCTCCTCCACCTGCTGCTCCAAGTGAGCTGCACCTTTGAAGATGGATGACAGCTCCTCAATAAACGTGGCCGCTCGGCTGCAGAACTCTGTGGCTGAAGCCACCCGGTCGTTCAGCTCCAGGCCTTCGTGAAGTAGCCTGGGTTTGTCCTGCTTATACACCGGCTGTAAGGGTTTGTGACGGACGACTTTCTCAGAGGACGGAGCCTCACTGGACACTTTGACTGCTGCATTGTCATCCGGGCAGGGGGCTTTGGTCTGGTGGTGTAGGTTTGGGCTCGTGTTGAGGTTTTCAGTAGTCTGGGGGGGCACAGGAAGGGAGGGGACGGATTGGAGAGCCTGCTCCGGTTGGGAAGGATTAGAGGGTCTTGGGTCTCCAGATTCACATTTGTCACCAAAGGCCTCCCGGGCCAGGTCCAGGCTACGGTTAATCTCATCCGCGCTCAAGAAGGCAGTAAGATCTGCAAAGTCTCCATCTCCAGAATCCAGCTCTGGCGCCGAGTCCAGGTAGAGCTCTCCATCAGAGGAGGCCTCCGAAAACACACCTCCGTCGCCCTCCAAAGTCCCGCCTGCTGCCGGGTCCTTCTGCAGCAGAGAGATGGGGAGTGGCTGATTCCAACTCCCGTCCTGCATCCTGAAATAAACATCAAAGCTCGTTACTCAACCATTACACGCTTTCATACTGCAGATGATACAGTTTATACTATACATGAGACACATCAGTGAAAAGGAAAATGACAGACAGAGGAGAAGTCAGATTTAAAATATAGACTTTCCAGGACTGTGTCAGTTGCTCTCACAGCCATAGCTGTCAGGATGACTCAGGCCTGTGTTGTCTGGACACAGTTGGTGGGTATTAGCACTGAGGTCACAGTGGACATGACTGGCATTTCTTACTCGCTTTGTTTCTGTCAGGACATTTTGCCCCATCACTGTTCTTTGTTGTACTTTCCTCACGTGTTTTCATCCACGTAAACTGAGGTTAAGGTTGGACAATAATTAGGGCTGGAATTAACAACTGTGTTTATTTGAAATTGTTTCTTTTTTGAGTAGTTATTTAAGTTTTCTTTCTTCTTTAAAATGGCAAGAAAAGCTCAAATAAATGCCAATATTATTATCAGTGTCCAAGGTTCATGGGTGTAGGCTTCATTTGATAACTTTTTAGAGCATCAGCACTGTTAATTAATTCATTTTTTACTAATGTCTGCCTTTTCTGCATTGAGTTAGGGTAGAAATGTCTTTCAAACCAAATTCAGGCAATTGAAAAGAAAAGGGAATATACATGCATCTAATAACATTTTCCACAGTAGGTTCAGTGGTTGGATGAGCTCATAATTCATATTTTGAGAATGATTGATTGAGAATGAAAATGAATCAAAACATCAACTGATCCTTCTGGCAGTGATACAAACATTACAGGGAGAGTAGAGCAGCAGTTGCATCAATCATGAGATGTTATTCAAACGGCTGTTGACAACAACATACATATCATATAACAATTGTTTTTCCAGGTAATTGTTGTAAAATATGCATTCACTTTTGAATTTACAATGTCCATGTGTCAATATCATCCATAAGATGGTTTAACTTTATTGTAGGGACAAATGAAGAGAGGCAAAGGGGATGACATCCAACAAGGTACAAGCTGCGTGTGTGTACTATATCGAATAAGCCACTATGTCACCCCTGAATAACAACATTTTATCAGCAAAGGTCGTGCCATTTTGTAAAAAAAGTGATTGACCAAGCAATGGGAAGTCTTAATAAACCATAATCCAAAAATCAGGATGCACTCAGAAGTCCATATGCTTCAATTTATACCACCTCATGCACCCCTACATTTGACTTTACTGTACACATAACATGAGTCTCACAACTAGAATCAAATGTAAAGCAGATCACACTGAAACTAAAAACTAAAAACTTTATGTTTCTTTAGCTCTATTCTTTTCAGAAATAGTCTCTTTGTGTATATTATGTTGTGAAACTGTTGATGTAGATACACATATGACGCAGTGTGACACTCAGCGCCTCATGGCGTCCTGAAGACCAGCTGTTGTTATTTTTAATCCCCTGGGCTATGTTTCACAGGAACCCCACCCTCCCCGAGCACAGGAGAGAGGTCGCTACCTTTAAGCATACTGACAGGTATGACTGGAGTTGCACAAAAATACACTGACGGTTCAAGCAAACGAATAAACCCAGACAATGTTCCTTGAGCGTTCTGCTATCTGAAGGGAACAATGACAACTGCACAGAGCTGATTAAATATGAATGTGGAAAATTTAAGACTGATTGACAAAATGTTGACAACTGCCAGCGCGGTTAAAGTTTCCACTGCTCTTTGTCTTTCCTTGATGTGTAGATAGTGTCTTATTGTGTTAATTTAAATACATACAGAGGCTTTTACATTCATTTTAGTTGTCATATTAATGCAAGCAAATTCTACACAATGAAAATTAATAAAAATGTCCTTACAAAACAAGACAGAGAAGATGTAACACATTTGAATTTGAGTAAATAAACTGTTTATACATATATATTATGTTAAAACACAAGTACTGTTACTGTAGCTGTTACATTAGGTGATTTAGGTCAGAGCATTATAAACAATTATAAACCAAACCATTTGATAAGGATGACTGAAAACAGAGCAAACCCTACCTTCAAGTGCACTGTTTATCCAAAAGCTCTCTCCTGTTTTTGTGCTTCCAGGTTTGTCTTGTTTAAGTGAGAAAGAGCTAAAAAGAAGCTTCTCTTTCCAGAAGAGCAGCCTTATTGGTCAGACGGGCGGCAGGATCTCTCAGGTTCAGGGTCCAATTGCGTACTGCCTCTGCAGTGGCCTGCTGTCCCATCTGTCCCGGCCCCTGACTGCTCACTGTGTGGGGCTATATTTGGCCCCGGGCTCAGGTTTCACAGCCAGAAAACTGGCGAGAAGAGAGAGTGTTGAGGTAGTCCTGGGGAACAGAAGGTGGCGGTGACATTTTTATACCAAGCTGGTATTTGTTAATTAAACACTGTAAACACAGGCTGTTGGAATAATTCACACTACACACATTATGCTCTTATAAGTCTGTGTAAATGAGCCTTGAGTAACATTAAGGGAATCTCCATCTGCACACTTACAACCACAGATCAAAGTTATGAAGATATATAGTCGACATCCTGCTGAGTTTGTAAGTCACTCATCAGCCAGGTCATGATTTGTTTAGTTAAGATGTGAAATGACAGCAGCTCGTTAGTGTTCCCACTGTGTCCAGCTGAGTTGACCCCGTGACCCCAGACCACCCACATCTGTTTTACCTAAAGCTATCTAAAATAGGTGCCGGGAGGATTTAGCATAAACTGGTGCTGAGTTCAAGTTTCAGCACCAACTTGGTCAAGGTCAATGCTGCACAGAGGTCTGACACAGACACTTTCTAACCTTCTGCCCAACAAACAACTCCAGCGTTCCTGGTTGAGGTGCACCGCAGTGAGATGGTTCAGATAAGGCCAAAACAGTGGGTTAGAAAGACACAGGCAGTTGAGACTCATGCAGCCTCACTTGGTCTATTTCTGGGCCACTATCACATTTTGTGCTCTCAGAGCTATTCTGGTTCTTCATCAATCTACTGATTACAGTTAAGTGCCAGTGATAAGTCCGGAAGGAATTTCCACTGTAATAACTATCTACAGAGCACACACCAGCTCATGCATGATCTTAAATTCTACTTGCTTGTCTGCTTTCCTCGAGCAGAAGTAACTGTGCATCAGGTATCATTTGAAAATAGCTGCTTTATTTAGTGGTGACTTCTACATATAACCTACAGACTTGTATCTGTTTGTGGTCCGTGTAAGAATAGTACTGGACCATTTCCAGCGTTACTTTATACCATATGTGCACACAACAACACAAGTCCTTCCATCACAGAATATACTTACTGTATTTTACATAGTATGACCAGGCACCGGTATTATTTTGTCATTCCTTTAATTAGTAGTACATCTCATAGTGTCTACAATATCTTGGAACTGAAGGCCTGGGACTTCTACATAATGTACAAATATAAATATTAAATAAACTGTCTCATATAGTGAGGTAAATACCACAAAAATCCCAACAAATCTACAATAAATCATCTTTACAGTTAGCTACTGTAATGTATGTTGCATTTATTGCATAACATTGTATGTTGTTTACAGTAATTAACAGTAATTTTTAGAAATTGCTGTAATTTACTATTAATTAGCAGTGGTACCACTGAAATTAACCAACATGACATCAATGTGCTGCACAAATAAGGAACTTATCTCTAAGGTCAACACACTGATTCAGAAAGTGCAGGTTCTGTATGGAAATATAAAAAATCTTCTTGTTTTCTTCTTCTCATATTTCTCATCACTGAACCTACTGAAGCCAAACCAGCATACTTTTCCAGCATTTTAAAGTGAGGCCATTTCTGTTCTATTGAGAAAGTAACTCGATTGCATTTTTTATTTTTTTTGTGAAGTAATCATCTATTTTAGTAAATGTTACATATTCAACATGTTTATATAACAAATGCCATATAATAGTTGTTGTATGGTATTCTTATTCTTTAATCTATATTGTTCATTTGTAATTAAAGTAAACAGAAAAAGAAACAACTTTAATTTACATTACACTTTACATGCTGTACTCACATTTAAACATGTTATGAATTTATGTATTACCTGTGTTTAGGTCTGAGTATGTCATGTCTAAGAGTCTTAGAGGTTGAGGCTGTTTTTATTTTCTTATCTGAAAGAAATGCTGCGCCAAAAAAAAGTCAAAAAGTGCACAAACGCACCACAAGTGTGTGGGCAATATGATGCACCTCTGAAGACTTTTGACTTTTTAAGTTCATGAAAAGGCTTTGAGAAAGTTGTCTATTTTTGTTTTTGTTTTTGAGCAAAACAGTTTGCTTCAATCTTTAATAGTTCACAGCTTTTTTTTTTTTTACACATTTTTGTTCTTTAGGATCTTTGTTGCAACACATTTACTTTAACACAAGTCTCAGCAATAACTAGATTTACATCAATACAGAAAGTATTGCGTTGGAGATATAATTATAGCACATGGCATCCAAAACTGATTTATTCAGAAGTAACTTGATGCAACATGCATAGTCTTGCAGTCACAACTGGAGGGTAATGACCATAATATCATACCAAAGTGAATGCTTTTTTTGGGGCTCGTTTGCATTTGTCTGTACAATACTAACATTTAGCCAGCAGGTATTACAGTTTTGACTTCTCATTTGTTTCCAAAAGACAACTATAATACAGGACAAAAAAGTAAGTCAAATGAAGTCAGTTTAAAAAAAAAAAAAGAATAGTACATTTAAATGCAACAAAAACATTGACTAAAGTTTTGCACAGCGTAAGACAAATAAAACTATCAAACATATGAAAAACTAGTCAATTAAAAACCATAGAATAATAAAACCATTACAACATAATGACCCTAATCATTCCATGATAAATTACAAGGGCAGTTGTTAGTACAGAACACCCAGACAGAAATGAAAATAGCATCAAAACTATGCTCATACAATATGCAAATAAATAATTATATATTATTTATTATTTAGATACATGTTGTGATGTAAGTCATTATTTTAGTGGGAGTAGTATTTTTTTTACTTTTACATCTGTGTTCCTCTAGAAAACAATGCTTCATTTATACGGTGTGTTGTAGCACATTTTACCTTTATTTTAAAATTGCAGCTCCTGTGATTTGGACATTACACTAATTGCGTTTTCTGTAATATTTTAATTTAAATAATGAGCCTTAATATACAACATATAATTATATCAGGTAAATATTATATACAATTGTTGTTCTGTGGTCATGATATGTAGGAATCTACAGAATTAACATACTAATCATAGTCATTTTTTGGGGAAAAAAAAAAAGTTTTAGCTCTACTGTCAAGACATGTTCGAATTATTGTGTTTTGACCAATGTTTAGGAAACAACTGCGTTTTGAAATTACAAATTACAAATTTCATTTTGAGTTTTGTATTTTTATAGCATCACAATGCATTTTGATTATTCTAGACTGGAAAAAGCAAGCGAGTGACATTGTGTTTTATTTGGAATTTTAAATCTGGTACTGAAGTTGGGGACATGAGGGAGCTAAAACGTAATTTTTTACACTTTTTGTATCGTAGCAACTCACCTTGACAGTATTGTCGGCATTTACGAATCGCGTTTTCTTCTGAGCATGTTTGTCCCTTTGCGCCACTCGTTGCTTCACTCTGATTGGTCAACTGGAAAATATGGCGGTGTCCGCGTAGTTGTGAAAACACCAGGAAGAAAACTTAAAATAAGAGTATAGCAGCCAGAGTTGAGCCTGCTGCGGATTGAAGCAATTCATATTTCGCTTTTTTTTTTTTTAATCCGGCAACGTAAATAATATCCATGTGTTTGTCTCTGCATTAGCTTCGCCTGCTAGCTAACTAGCCTGCTAGCATCGCATCTTCTCACTGAACAGAAGTTACTCATCTGTCAAATCTGACCGGTGAGTAAGATCCAGTTTATAAGCACCTAATGTTAGTTTAGCTTTAGGTCATGGCTAAAGTTTCCGTCTGTAGCCTTGTCAGGAATGTCTTTTCATATTTCTGCGTGATGGTGCAGCTGACTATGTTTAACTGGGAGCTTGAGGTTTCACAGAAATGGCAGCAAACAGTAAATAAATGACTCTATCTTCGTCGGATTTTGTTCTTCGTAACCCCGTGATATCTGCATTCAATGTGGTCTTGTGCACGTGTTATCTACATGCTCATCGTATATTACAGCAGACGTGAGTACACCTCTGTGCAAATTCACGTGTTTGTGAAATGATTCGGAGTCGTATCACCTTACAGTAAATACGTCACTTCTAAGTTGGGTACTAGGCTATTTGCTTTCCTGTAAAATGAAGAACGAACAGTTGTTGATTTACTATATTAAAATTACAGCCCCCACAACAGGAATTCAGTGCAACAAAAGCTGAAACACCTGTTTAATACTTTGTGTGTTTATTTTTGATGACAGTTTTAATCATCTTCTGTATGCTGATACTAATGTTGTACTTGTTCTGCCATTCTTCAGAAACATTTGTCTGATTAAAATCAGGCAATATATTTCACCAGTTCATCGTTTTTGCTTTTTTCTTGCTTAGAAACTCTTGTGTGAAATTGGCAGTGTGCTTTGGATCATTACCATGCTGGAATATTCCTTTTTTGCCAAAGTTCTGAAGACTGAGAGATGGAGTTATCTTGTCAGACAGTATTTTGGTACATCCACAGGAATTCGTGGTGTCATCTATGAATGTGATTTCCCCACCACACTTTTACACTCATGCAGCCCTATATCGTCACACTACCACATCTGTGCTTTGCTGTCAGGACTATGTCTTCACTGTGGTAGTCCTGAGCAAGTGCAAACATGCTGCACCCCATCTGAGCCAGGAAAAAAAGAAAGAAATGTATCTTGATCTCATTTCACCAAAGAATGTGCTCCATCAGGTTTTTTTTTTTTTTTTTTTTTTTTGAGCAGCAACAGTTAATCGAATAATTGATCAGCAGTCAGCTAATAAATTTGTTTTTGAACTATTTTGATAACCAATTAGTTGCTCTGAGTAATTTTTCAAAAAAATAAAAGCCTACATTCTCTTGTTCCAACTTCTTAAATGTGAATACTTTCTGGTTTCTTTCCTATGACAGTAAACTGAATATCTTTGGTTTCTGGAGAAACCAAGACTTTTGTGGATGTCATCTTGGGCTTTTGAAAACACAAATCAGCATTATTCTATGCCATGCAATAATTATTTCAGTCAAAGATTAATATTATTCTTGCCAATAATTGGGTAGTTTTTTTTTAAATCAACTTTTTCAATAAATAGGGGCAAAAATCATATATATATATTTTTGCTATAAATCATGTTGTCTAGGGATCAGGGAACATGCTTGTTTGTGAGAGACTGCACCAAAAATCACATAATAATTTTTATATTTTTTTCAGTGGAAAAGAAATGAAATAAATTCACCATTCCTACTGAAACCATGACCCATATCACAGTATCTGTGATTATATATATATATACACACACACACACACACACACACACACACACGTCAAATAGCCCTTATAGATTACTAATTATTTTTTTGTTGGTCCCCTGATTAATTGATAGACTCATTATTTCTGTTGTAAAACAAGTAAAACATTTAAAACAACAAATGCAGCAGCTCTACTGCAGTGACACAAGCACTGCTATTCTTTCTTACAACAAAGAGTAAACTAAATTTTTAGCAGGATCGCTTTTGTTGTAATATTGAATTGCTATGAAACTAAGCTTCATTTGTCCTCTTATCATTTTTCAGCCCACAACATGCCTGCCTTCCGGCAAGTGGGAGAGAAACAACTTCCTAACCCTGTACTGTGTATGGCATGGTCTCCCAAGAGGGATCTGATTGCTTTGGCCAACACAACTGGAGAAGTAGGCCTAAAATCCTCATTCTGAAACAACATGTCTCTGGATCTTTTATGTTTTTTGTAATGTTATGACTTATGTCCATAGTTGCTGCTGCATCGCTTGGCTAGTTTCCAGCGTGTTTGGAGCTTACCACCCAGTGAGTATACTGGGAAGGAGATCACTGCACTTGCCTGGAGACCAGATGGCAAAAGTAAGAAGGAAAGACTGTGAACATCTCTCATAGTTTATAGTCATCTGCTTGTTGGCTGTTATACTTATGTTGTCTCATTAATCCCCAGTATTGGCCTTCAGCCTTGGAGACACCAAGCAGGTGGTCCTGTGTGGTGTTGAGAAAGCAGAGATCCTCCACGTGTTTCCGATGCAGAGTCCTGTAACCTGCATGCACTGGATGGAGGTGATGGAGGAGAGCAGGTATGCATGAAGCTCAGGAATCCAACTAACAGTAGAGATGGTGTTTAACGGTCAAGACTAACTGGAATGATTGTTTTTGATGTGTTTTAGTGCGCTCAGCTCCTTTTACAACTCAGAGGATGAATCCAAACTCTTTCTCCCCAAACTACCAACACTTCCCAAGAGGTAGCAAATTAATTAATTGTACATCACCTTATAAAATGACAGCTCCCTGCTTGAATGAATAACATTTGTCCAAACTTTTGTTTTCTAGCTATAGCACAACTTCAAAGATCTTCAGGTCAGACAGCAGTTTACTCACTAATTCATTAGTCCTGCATCAGTTATTTAATGTATGCTTTGGTGGTTTTTGCTAGCAGCTGATTGTATTTATCTGTCTGTGTCACAGTGAGGAAAAGTCTGATGAGATACTCAATCTCCTGGGAGAAGTCAGGTAAATGTATGCTTATTGTTTAAGAAATGCACAAAAATGCAATGAGTGTTTATCGTGGATTAATCTCTTTTTAAGTTGCGCTGAAAAGGTTTTCACCACCGCATGTTGTTTCCACACAGACTGAACGTACTTGTTCTTGGAGGAGATGCTGGCTTTGTGGAGCTTTATGCCTATGGGATGTACAAGATTGCCACTCTAGGAGGGGTACGGCTGTTTTGTCTTTTACATCTTCTGAAAGGCTTCGTCTGTACTGATATATTATTACATATATTTATATTTGCAGTATATCCAGCAAAAATGTATTCAAAGTAGTGAAATGTATCACATCAAACAACAGAACTCAACATAAATTTGATTATACAACACCTTTTAAATATTATAAGTTAGACAAAAGTCTTCTCCAGGCTTTTACTGGTTCAGAATGAGCCTTTGGAGGTGACCATGCATGACACTAGGTATGATCAGGCTATACAGTAAAGGCAATGAATGTATGTTACCTTATTTGACAGCAATCTAGGAAATGTTCAGTTTTTTTCTGTCAACAAATGTCTATTATGCGTGAGTAAATAAAAGTCTGTAAATTTAATTGCTATTTTTACTCTCAATTTCTATCATTTTAGCACTGGTAATTTTTTTGGAGCTGGATTGAACGTTTTTCTTCTATGCAAGAAAAATGCTCAAATGTAATCATTTTTAAGTAAATACAGAACAACTACACCAGTAAAATAAAAATGTCAACACTTGAAAGATCTTAAAAATGACAACTAGTGCAAAATTAGATGCCACAAACTAATATCTAAAGTGCACAACTATATACTGTGTTTAAACTTTTGTTACCCGAATTGTACAACACTCTGCAGGTTTCAGGAACGTGTCGCAGCCTCAGTCTGTCAAGTGACCTCAAGTCACTGTCCATCATCACAGAGGTCAGGTCTGCTGATAACAACCCAGAGATCTGCTACATCCAGGTGAGATATCAATGAACTTTATGATAAACTTTATTCATGCAGCACCTTAGAAAAAAGTTACAAATCGCTTTACAATAAAATAAAAGCAATAAGAGCCAAAAAGTAAGATATAAACAAGATAATATAATTCAAGTGCACACAACGGTTATCAGTAGTTTAGAAGTTTAGAAAAAAACATAATACAAAAGTCATTTCTTACCTCCTGACCTCATCTCTGCTCCAACCTGCGTTTTTCTGCGCTCATTTTAACTGTCGTCTTCGTCCTAAAGTTGGACACCGGCTTGTTGTCAGACTGTCTGCCTGAGGTCACCAGGATGGCACGCAAGTTCACCCACATCTCCACCCTGCTGCAGTACCTGCACCTGTCACTCACCTGCATGTGTGAGGCGTGGGAGGACATCCTCATGCAGATGGATCTTCGACTCACTAAGTTTGTTCAGGTTTGTGGTTTTGACTTATTGCCTAAACTGGTTAAAACGAGAGAACACCACCTCATGCTTTGCTTCCTGTCTTTGCAGGAAAAGAACACAAGCACTCAAGTTCAGGATGAATTTCTGGAGCTTCTGCTGTGGGGACAATCTAGGTGGGAAAAGATGACGGCATTTCTATTATTTTGGTTTGCACATTATCATGTTGCAATGTCTGGGGTGTCCTGTAGATGGCAGCAACATGTCTTGAGCTAGTTGAGCTGCTGTTTGTTGTTTGCTGTAACTTTGTGGTAAATCATGCAACACTTGTAATTTTCTTGCCATTGGCTCTCTGTTTTCAGCCCTGAACTACAGGCTCTTCTCATGAACCAGCTGACTGTCAAGGTCAGGAGAAGTTCAACTACAATTTCCTTCTCAAGATTTTTCTTTTTAGACAAATTGTGTTGTTGTAGACCAAATGCATTCGGTGGTAAAGCTGAAAATCACTTCTTATTTATTTCATTTCCATCGTAGGGCCTGAAGAAGCTCGGTCAGTCCATTGAATCATCTTACTCCAGTATCCAGAAGTTGGTGATCAGCCACCTGCAGAGGTAGCTTGTCTTTTACTTCTTATCAATGCTCCCTGCTGCATGACTGTTTGTCATTTAATACGTGTCTCTTTTGCTGACTGCAGTGGCTCTGAGGCTCTACTGTATCACCTCAGTGAAGTGAAAGGAATGTCTCTGTGGAAGCAAAAGTTCGAGCCCCTTGGTTTGGATTCAGCAGCAATAGAAGGTATAATTTCAAACATGTACAATGATCAAAGTTAAGCTTTTTACATGAATAATCATGTGTGTTTTGTGTTTTCAGGTGCCATCACAGCTGTGGGTTCCTTTTCTCTCAAAGCTAATGAACTTCTGCAGTAAGTTCATGATCATAAACATGAATCATTTCTTTGAAAACTGTTTGTGCTCCACTTTTTTCCCAATTTTACTACTTTTATATTGTCATTTAGGGTGATTGACAAGAGCATGAAAAACTTTAAAGCCTTTTTTCGGTGGCTTTATGTAGGTAAGAATGAAAATGACTTGTTAATCCTGATAAATATATTCGTCATTCCTGTGCTTATATGTAATTTGAAATGCAGAAGTGAGCAAGATTCCAAGCATAAAGTTTTAATTACTTTTTTCATGTTCGGCTCTGTTTTATTTTGCCACAGCTATGCTGAGAATGTGTGAGGAGCATGTACCACCAGAACTAAACAAGGTGAGTTTTGTTACAGAGATTTGTGATTTTTAGTGTTCCTGAAATTATTTTACAATTTTAACGAGTTGTTTAATCCCTTAGATGACTCAGAAGGACATTGCTTTTGTTGCTGACTTCTTATCTGAGCATTTTAGTGAGGTGAGATCAACATAATGACATTTAGACAATGTAAGGAACTTGTTACCATGTGTGTAGAGTTTTACAAATTTGCTTTTGCTTTGTGGTTTAATAGAACGAGGAGCTCTTTGATCGCAAAGGGAAGTACTTCAATGTAGAACGAGTGGGTCAGGTAAGTGGTTTTGACTGCGCAGCATCAAGTGTTTTTGAATGGAAACGCTGTATAATAACACACTGGTTTGTCTTTCACATGGACACTTTCAGTACTTAAAGGACGAGGACGAGGACCTTGTGTCTCCACCCAACACAAAAGGAAACCAGTGGCTGAGGTTTTTACAGGAGAGCTCACACCTGAAAGGTGCACTGTGATCTTGACTTTAGAAGTTCATAAAAGAAATTATTATTGATGTTATAAATCAGTTGTGTACTTTGGATTGAGGTTAAATGGTTTGTTTGGTGAGTTACTTGATCGCAGTTTCTATAAATGTTGATTAATTACTGTATTAACTGATTGAATATTTCATTGGTTTATTTAGAGAGCCCTTTGCTGTTTCCTTCATTTCCCCAAAAGTCTTTGCACTTCGTCAAGAGGATGATGGAGAATGTGATTGAGCATTGTCTACAGAATCCTGCAGTGAGTTTAGTGTGCCGTTGATTTTCTCTTTCTATCCTGCACAGTCAAGCATTCAGTTGCAAATGTCAGGGCTGCTGAGAGTCTGATCACATCTCCTCTTTATTCATTATTTTATGTTATTTGTGTGCAGGAAGTCATTGGGAAATCAGTCAAACAGGCCCTCTTTTTGCCGCTGTACACCGTTCCAGAGAGGTATAATCTCAAGTGTTGGCTAATAGTCACTATTGCTTTAAATGTGATGTAGTTACTGTAATTAAAGTTGTACTTATTTCTTTAGCTCAGAAAACACGCCCCGACTTTTTGAACTTCCATCCTTGTAAGTATGTGTAGACATTACAGTTTTATATCTGTGATGGCACGATAGGGTTTTGTATTAATGATATTTCTTGGTCCTCCTACAGGTGGAATGACAAAAAAGCCAAACTGCACTATGTTGTGTTCTGCATGCCAGAGATTTCACCCTGTAAGCTCTACGTGTTACGGAAAGGAACAGACCCAAACAGGTACATTCCTGGGAGTGTAGGTGTTCTGTTTGTATGAATTTCTTTGGATATTTTATTATTTAGTTTGTGTTTATAACCAATTTTTTTATTTATTTATTTTTTTGCAGACACATCCCAAACAGTGTCATGTCCATCGACCTCAGACACCATCTTGACAACGCAGACAATGACGATGCTGCAGCCCAGTGAGTCTCGCTTACGTCTTTCTTTTAACAGACACACGTAAATGCAGAGAAAGACCTCAGGTTGTAAAGGTGTTGTTTGAACCGTGATTCACCCTGAGTTCTGTTTCCAGGTCTCATTATGTGTACAGCTGCCTAGATGCTCGTTTCTATGACGATGAAATGCTAACTGTGGTCTTGCGAGGATCAGAAGAACAGAACAGTTGGCGTGTCCTGGCTCAGCTCCCTCTCGCTTCCAGCCTAAACTGTGAAACTGAATTCAACTGGGAGCCAAACCTGAGGTGTGTATTTATACATCATTTGGATTATCTTACTTCAGTAACTTTAATTCTCTTTCTAAGGTCTAAAACAGAAACATTGAGCTTGTTTCACAGCCAGGGAAAAGATGATATTCAATGTGATCTCTTGTTTTATGGTTTATTCTAATAAACTCCTGATGAGTTATAAATAAATACAAACAAATAACAAATATGTATTTTACATTCCATTTGTTCAATGCAGGAATTCTGTACACATCACCTTTATTTCCAGAATCTAAAATATTATTTCATTACCAAGAAAAGTATTTTCCTATTATTTGAAAATGCAGCACAATGTTAGTGTTTTGTGGCATTATGTAAAGACTAAAGATTATGTAATGGCTTTAACGTAGTGCGTATGTTACCGGTATCGTCAGGTTGGACCAGCAGACCAGTGCCATCCCGTGCCATGATCTGGTGTTGGGGAATCAGTGGCGTGAACTGGAAAATATGAAGGCTCAGTTTGTTGCTGTCAATGGAATACGCAAAGTGGCGTGCGTGGTACGTTAACTTTACACTAACACTTCACATCAAATGTAGTGTATGGGGGATTTTAGTTCGGGATATTATGTGTGAATGAATTGCACTGCGATGCTACTATATTTGCTTTAGTGATCAATAAGGTCAGATGATCCCTTTTTCAATCTTGCCAGTGAATGAATGCTGTGAACTACAGCCAAACATTTACTTTTTTCCTCTCCTGGCAGCTAAGTGCCAATCTGAGGCACATACGTGTTTTCGAGATGGATGTAGAAGATGAGGATGACGAGGGAGCTGACTCACAGAATGCCAGCGCTGACCAGGATGGACTGGACACCACCATGACCAGCCAGGGACAGGGAGAGGGGAGTTTGGAGGCTGAAGGTGAAGCTGGAGAGCAGGGAGGAGATGGATTTCAAAAACCTAAGGAGCAGCTGGAGTCTGAGGAAGCTGTGGAACTCTCCTGAGACTGAGACAACAACAAGATGCATTAAAATAAAGACTCAGATCCACATTTTGTTTGTTACAAAAGTTTTTTGTTTGTTTGATTTTTTACCCCATTTTGGAACAAATGTGTATTAAAATAAAGATATTTGTTTAAGTTGATGATTTTGTAATTCACTCTTTTATCTTGAATGTTTTTTTTTGTGGGGCTGAACAACTAATTAAAATTTTATCAAAATCATCAAAACATACTGAACTGAACAGTAGAAACCCAAAAAATATCGTATTGCAATTATTTTTGACAGATATTGTAACATTGTGCAATATCGGTCCCAATATTAGAGGGAATGCACGTTTTTCACTGAAAAAAAGTGAAAATGATGCAGACCAAAACATTCATGCGCCTATATGTTTAGAAAATATGAATTGCAAAGCAGGGCATCTCTGTAGCACCACAGTGCTTCATTACTGATGGTATTTTGTGACATGTTTTACCATTTATCAATAAGAAATTGCAGCTCTTTAGATTTGGTTGTTGCATTTGACCATACTGTGATTTTGATAATAATTGGAATAATTGCACAGCCAACATAGCATTACCTTTAAGGCGCTATAGAGATACCTTAGCCTACAAATCATATTTGGCAGAAATAAGGAAATATGCAACATGTCAGTTAATGCTTTATTTTTTTTGTTTTTGTTTTTTGGTGAAAAAGTCCCAGTATACATGATGGGTAATTCAGAAGTTGATACATAGATTTTTAAAATTTAATATGATAAATAATAATAATAAGAATAATACTGCTATTAATAATAACTACTTGGCGAAATTACAAAATGAGTGAGTGTGCTTTGCTTGGTTGTCTGTCTCTAAGTGTAGCCCTGCGAAAGACTGGTGACCTGTCCAGGGTGTCCCCTGCCTTCACCTTAAGTCAGCTGGGATAGGCTCCAGTCCCCCGCAACCCTAGTGAGGATTAAGCGGTGTATAGATAATGAATGGATGGAACATAATTAGTTCTGGCTACCATAAGGTCGAGTTGATCAATTAAATAATGTAAAAAGCTGACTTTTTTTTGTGGTTGTGTGCACGCGCATATAGGTGTTGGTTACGTGCTCGCTCCCGATGCCGAACGCGGTGACGTGTGTGATCCGCCGCCTGTTGGTCTTTCACAGTTGGTGACGAGTGTTATGAAAATGGCCTCGACCCTGCCCGTGAGCACGAATAACCGGAGAAGATGACGACGTTGAGCTTCTTAAGTCGGTCGAACACCAAAGTGTCTTCCTTGAACACGTACATACGAGTGAAGTGAACGAAAACCAGGAGACTCTCGGCAGAGAAACGCCTAAAAAATACCCCAGAGCACCGCAACATTTTCGCTGGCTGGCTGAGGAGCCGCTATGGAGGATATCAACTCTAATATCAACGCGGACTTGGAGGTGCGGAAGCTCCAGGACTTGGTGAAGAAACTCGAACAGCAAAACGAGCAGCTCCGGAGCAGGTCTACGATGTTGTCCTCGTCTGGGGCCATGTCAGGGAACCACAGACCCCTCAGTGCCGGATACGACTCGTCGTCCCTGTCAGCGGGGATGGCAGCCGGTCTGGCCGGCTTCCCTGGGGTGGGGTTCGTCGGTACGGGCGGCTACGGTGGGCTGCTGGAGAACAACCGCTGTTTGAGCCCCAGACTGTCTTATGACGGCATCAGCTTCAGGAGGGCGTATGAATGTGAGGGGGCTTCCGCTGCCACCTCTGTGTCCAGTATGAACTCACTTTATGCAGACACCACTGGCGGCTTTATGGACGAAGCGGAAACCTCAATCCTAGATGAAGTGGAAATCTTAGACCTCGAAGACATGGATTGTCTACACGAAGACGAGGACAGCTGGTGAGTTAGTGAGCGAGTGGCAGGCTTGTCTCGGGAGTTATCTTGCCTTTACAGCCGTGTTTGTGTCTTCGGGGCTGGTTGACAGCTTTAATTGCCTGCGCACAGCTGCTCTAAACATTAACAAACGCCCGGCATGAACAATCTCCTCAATAGCTTCAGTGAAATCATCCACCGAAGGAACCTCATTGTGGACTGAAGCATGCTGTTTGGCAAGTCATATGGGCGATGCCAAGCCACTTCTATGACTGCCTGACCACAATAGACACCCTTTGTCATACAGTCATTGTGTCATACCTTTGCTTACAGTATGTGCATTAGTTTCAGAGGCAGATCAGCAGGCCTCTCAGCTGTCAGCACCCTGGGATCATCTGTTAGACGGTTTTTTTTAATGTTGTGATGTGGCAGTTTGCTTGGCTTGTCACTGGCAGTAATGGCAGGAGATCAGTGTATGAAATCAAAGTTGTTTTCCTGCCTAAACAGCCATGTGGGAGAGGTATCCATGGTTATAGTCCTCCTCTGAATTCCCTTCAGCACAGCAGTTGGCACACAGCTACAAGTGTGCTGCACTAAGTGAGAGAGGCAAGAGATGGGAAATAGGACAGTCAGCTCATAGTGCAGAAATAAAAAGCTCTGACAGTGTCGTAAAGCTGATCACCAGTGTTGCAAATGCAGGGATTACAAACAATGGCATGACGGGGCCATGTGGAGTGTCTTGGATGTCCATTTGGCATCATGTTGCTCTGCTTGTTATCAGAATTATTCTCACAGCCCACATGTCCATTCCTATACCATCTCTTAATCCTCTCCCACTACACTGTGTTGATATTATGTAATCCAGCACTTCTAGTTATTAGGGTTAGATGGTTTATAAAGATACACTTCCACAGCACACGCGTAAATCTCATCTCAACTCGAAGAAATCATTTGACGTGACACTAGACATTTAGACTTAGTAGAAAGATCTGTTATGATAGAAATGGAGCAGTTATTTGTGCGGCAACAGTTACTGACAGGACATGAATATAATGATCCGTAGGAAATGGCCCATATTATTTGTCTTGTTAGGAAGGGTTTGATTGATTGGAGTCTGTATGGTAATGATACTGTAATAGCAGCATTAGGGTGTAGCTGTAAATGCAACTTAATGACAGTTGTTAAAGCTGCTCCAGTCAGTGACATGTCAGGTAGTAAGTCTGCTAATCAGGACAACAAAAGGCGGTCTGATGCTGAATCTAAGAGTTCATGTATGTTACAGGGCGGATGCTGCCAGTCGGTATGCATGTTTCCTGAAAGTTAAACATCCTTTTTTATGATTATTATTCGACCCACTCTTTGTCCAAATCAGCAGAACAAACTCGGGCTCTGCTTTGTTGCTTGCAGCAGCAGTGTACCTCTGCCAGCGACTGAGCCCTCGACTACTTTCAGACATTGCTCACTCATGCCCAACAGAGCCAGTCTCATTATGCCCTGGCCGTTTGTCTGCCCTCTGGATCAGATTGGTATCTGGGATTACCCTGTAGTGCCTTGCTTTCGCCAGCTCCTGTCACAGACTCCTGTAATCCCACGAATTAGCATCAGAGTGGATTTAAAACGCTGCCTGGCCCTGCAGTGTGCTCCCTACCTATCAATAGATGCTCGTCGCTCTCCTGTTCCTGCGTACGAGCTGGAAGTTCACGCATGAAGACGCAGATTTACTATGTGCCATACCACATATGAAGGGCCGCCATAGTGTTCGTAAACAAAGAAAATGTACACTCCCAGTTTCAGCTTTGTGTTTTCATTTGGCTGTAATGTTTCTGCTTTCATCATGAAAGCCTTCCTCTATGGCCGCAACAGTGCTGACAGCTGCTGACTCAGATTTCTCTTCTGAGCAGAAACTCTTCTCTTATTTTCTCTTCTCATCAGTGACAAACACACATTTGCATTACTTCTGCTACTACAGAACGGAAAGTCGCAGCCAGTTCAGTTAGTTTGTAGCCTTATTTTGTACCTTGATGAGCACCCATCGGCATTAAGAAGGTTTAAATCAATGCAGCTGACTAAGCAGTGAACTCAATGCCTTTTTCAAACGCCTTTTCATTCTTAAAAGTTTGCAGTAGCGGGAGCTTAAAGTCGCATTGTCCTCATTGCCATTGGAGACTCTAGAGACAGAGAACACTGAAACGTGAACAAAAATGAGGATATATAGTTATGTTGAAAAGCCTGAAAGATATCTGAAAGTCACCTCTTGGTAAGTTTTAAACTTGCGGTATTTTTAGCAGTTTCTTAAATAATTTATAGCCCTCACGAGCTCAAATATTGATGTATGAAATAGATCTAAATTAAAACAAACTGTAATATTCAGTCTTAGCTTTGAGGTTTTTCTCCTTTGTACCGCTTGAATGCGTAGCATTCTGTGATAAAACCAGGTCCAAACACTCGTTATCCCCTCGATCAAATTTCCTCTCGGAGCTGTCGAGCCACATCACATGTGAGGTTCGATAGGTGTGAGCTGTCGTAGTCGAGCGTTATTAAAGCAGGAAGGTGACATGTGCTGTTTGTATTTTTTCAGGTTGTATGAGGCGAAACTCAACAGTCCCCTGCAAAAATCCTTGAGTCCTATTGTGTGGTGCCGCCAAGCTCTGGACAACCCCAGTCCTGAGATGGAATCGGCCAAGCGCTCCCTCATCCACAGACTGGACCTCACCATGTCAGGTAAACAGAAACATGTAGTCTCAACTTCTTAAGCAGCTTCAGCAGTAGTACAAGTTATGGAAACTGTTTATTTTGGCATGTTAAAGATCAGCTACAAATGGCATCTGTGTCAGCGCTTCTTATCTGGATAATGATACCAGATTTATGATTATCTATGTGTTAAAATGCTTTATCTGAATTACGCCCACAATTTAATGTAATCTCAATATGCAAATGATATGATTGGGTAGGTCTGGTTTACTTCTCAACCCATAGCTTCTGCTACTACCTGTAGCTTTTATTCTGTTTGCTTGAGTTAGCATGGGGAGGTGGAGTCAGTAGGGCTGTAACAATCCATTGATCTGGACTGATTTATTGAGTCAATTAACAACAGTTCAAGATAATCGATGCAAAGTAAAAACATTGATCTGTGTCATCATTTTTAAGTTGACTCCGAGAAAAACTATATTTGCACATGAATGTGCTGCTTATCATGAACAAAAATCAATCTATTTTTTCTTTATATTACAAAGTAGAGATTGTTTTTTAGTTAAAGGTGTGAAAGAATTCGGAAATGATACTGTCAAATCATATTTCAGTTGCTTTTTTTGCGAGTTGATATAAATGTAGCTGAATTTAATCTAATTGAAATTGTTTTGCATCAGACTTTGCGATATTGACAAATACCATGCAGTTTCGTATTGTGGTGAAACTTGTGATTCACACCACTAGCTGTTGGGTGACCTTTCAACTTGCTGCACAGTTGTTGTTTTTTTCTTCAGGCTGTGGTCACAATGTGCAGATTGCATTCACACCTGCCGAAATCCGATCACAATGCGAGCCTGACCACCTCCTAATGTGGTCTGACTGATCTGAATGCTTTCTGATCCCAGTGTGTTTTCACTGCAGTTACAAGCGTTATCCAAGTTAAGTCATCTGGATACAGATTGCATGTTAATATCGGGAGCAAATGGGATATTAAGCAGGACTGATGTCTTTCTGTCTCTTTATGCGATGTTAGTCAGTTTCTTAGTTTTTTCTAATCATGTAACAAAAGTCATTTGAACTTTGTTTTCAAAATAAAAGCAATTCTAGTTTAGAGTTCCACTACAATAAAGAAAATGTAGATCCTATAATCCTGTCTAGAACAGAGTATGAAAAGTGCAACGTATGCATATATGGAACTATCAATCCAGTTAGAGGATGCTGTAAATGTGAAGATTTTTCTTATTACTAAGAACTTTAATTTATTTAATAAGCTTATATTCCCACTTTATTCCCTCTAAATCACAATAATAATCCAAAACAAGCCTATTTCCTCTATTGCGCACACTTCTTTTTTTTTTTTTGAATCTACAACTACCAGACATACAACTAAAAACAAACCACAAAAACAAGAATGATTCATCATGCATGTTCCCTCTTATCCAAGAGGGAAACTGAAGAATACATGTGCCTGTTTGTGGAAGCATTATTAGACAAAAGCTGGAGTTTTATAAGGAGATGTGATTTTTTAAGTTACTGGAAGTATTAGGGCTGACTGATTGTGCCACAAATGTCTGTTTGACTCACAAAACAATGTAAGTTATCAATTAATATAACAGGAGGTTTTGCTCCCCCTTCCTTGTTGCTGGCAGGTTGTGTGTGGAATAATGGGTAATTTACATTGTGCCAAGGGGCCCGCAAAATATTTATCCCTTTGTGCCATGTGAGTACACCTGGGTGCTGAAGGCATGTAAAGTATTGACTTATTTATGTTTACATCTGTGATAGTTTTTTCCATTTTTGTAATGTATCACTTTCTCCTCAACCACTAACCATGAATCACTCCATGTAGAAGCATTACATTTAGCACCAGAATGGATGTAAACTCGTGTCATACTGACAGGCCTCAACTCTTTGACAGGCCTATCAGTGTCTGCACCCCACAGTGTGTAGGTGGATGATACTTGTTGTGAATGGCAGATCCACTCAGGAGAGTCTAAAACATGCATAAAGACAACAACACGACATTGATTTTAACCACAATACATCCTGCAGGGCAAAGCTGAACGAAATGAGGACCATCTGCGATGTGCAGTACACATTGTTCGAAGATGCAGTGACGATATCACTAGCAATAAATAAACAAACACTGAAGTCTGTTAGCTGCACATTTCCTCCTTTCTGCTTTAATGGGTACACTGCCAATGCCCACAGAATACAGAAATGAAATAAATAACTTCAAAAGTGCTTTTATTGAACTAATTGTACATGACTATCCAACCAGTTAAACAGAACCTTCATTTAAATTTTAACTATAAAAAAAACTGTTTAATTTCTGCTGCTCCCTGTAAAATATTTTTTCACTCAACTCAACAAAATCTCTGGACTTTTCCTCAGTCTTATCGCTTTCCTCAGCCGTCATGCTTGCTAACCTGGCAGTCGCCTCGAAATCAACAACAATTAATCTGAGTGTAGCTGGAGGCTGGCTCGGGCTTCCTCTGATTGGCTGAATGGTATGAAGGCATGGCCAGTGTACAAAAACAAAAAAAGTTATTGCATTTCAGGCAGTCACATCTTTTGCGATGTGTTTTTAGCGCACATTTACAATGAAAATGTGATTTATCAGTCAGCCCATAGTCAGGCTTACATCATCTTTCCTCCTTTATGCTTGTGCAATGCCTGTTTCCTGAGCTTTTGACTTCCACTAATTATAGTTAGTCTCTCAGTGAGAAGGACAGGCCTCAAATCCTTGCAGCTAAACTGAGAGGGGTCATTTCCATTTTGACAGCGGTATGCCCATGTGACAGTTAGATCATGTTGAGCAATAGGCCGCTGAAGGTTGTTCACTGGGGTAGATTTGATCCTCTCTGCTCTGTTGTGCAAGAATCAGCACTGCACCTGGACTCACAGGCGCCTCCCCGTCTAAGGATACTGACATTTGTTCAGAGTGGCTCCTAAAATAATATGAATGTGGCTGTTTTGTGGATCCAGGCTGCGTAGCCTGTTTTTGTTTATTTATTTTTTTTCAGAACACATATTCATATGGATTCTGGTATGTCGGAAGCAGTTTTTTAAGCTTGTCTTCTTGAGTGATGCTAAATCTAATAGAAATCATGAATGTGCACTTTCAGAATAATTTGGGACTCTCCTGTTTGTGCTGACCACTTTGGACTGCATTATATGAACTAAGCATAGAGACAAGGCACACTATCTGTCAGGCTGCTGACTAATACTCCCAAAAAACTATCCACTCGAGGCTGGTTTAGGGAATTGTGCTTATTAGTGGTGATATCATGGCTGTAGATATGGACGGAGGATAACATCATCCTACTTTGTCCTGAAAGTACCCCCCCTTGTCACTGATACCACCCACCCTGCTCCCTCTACCCCTCAGTTAGCACTAATGGAAAGACAAAGAACTAAAATCCTGTGCGTCTCGCAACTTGAAGACATTTAAATTAATCACAAAGGCCTAGGTTTTAAAGATATCTTGCAAATAAATGAAATCCATTTTCAGCCCGCATCCTACATTCTGAGAGCATTGAGAGCGTTTGTGATTGTGACACTCACCAGACACACCCGTCATGGCTCCCGGCTACTCTTCTTCACACCCGGTCTCTAACAGGAGCATGGAAACCCTGTTGCCATGGTGTTGGTTGAGTTTGTGTCAGCAAAGGAGTGGCAAAGAAAAAACCTCTTTCACTTCACTTGTGGCAGATATTATGTGAAGATTTCCTCAAGTCCTAAAGCATGAACTGTACAAATTTGATTTGTGGTGTTTGGGTCTGTTTAAATATTCCATTGGACTTCACATAGACAGTAAGTGCACACTCATCCAAGGCATTCACATATTTCAACCATGACCATAAGTTTTGTGTTTGAGTGTTGACCAGGCCTCGTGTATGCGCACACCCTGTAAAAAATCATATCCCCACATGACGTGTCTCAGTTATATAACTAACAACAGGGAGGAAATGCCTGGCAGATAGTTCCTTGATTTGACTGTACAGGTCAAAAAGCACACTGTTGCTCATGTCAGACAGTTCTGATAAGCAGTGAAACCATTTTTCTGAACAATTAAACCCAGCTCTTTTCCATAGTGCTGCTTTGACAGCTGTCCTGCAGCTTAGGTCCAGACCCAAGAGGTCCCAACCACAGTCACATGGCTGACCTGCCCTGTTTTCTGCTCATAGAGGCTTTGACTTTTCATAGACCTCCTACTGTAGAGTTAGTTCACCTCCCTCTTGCATGTGTCTGCCAGTTTTATCCTCTTTCTTCTTTGTGGTATTTATCTCTCTCATTGACAAAAGCGTCTCTGTTTGCTCTTCTCTTGTGATATGCTTAAAGCTCTCTGCAGCTGTTTAACTCATTCTTTATTTTTATATTAAGTAGACTTCAGTGCCAAGCTTTGTCTCCTATTTCCTCCTCATACATTTAGTCCCAGCTGGCCTTAAGCAGTCTGTTATGGCCTGGCTCATTTAGGGAGGGTTTTCAGCCTGTGGAAACTACCCTGAGGTTTCCACAGGCTGAAAAGCTGAGACGGAAAGTCCTCTAGTACAATTTCACATCACAGTAAACCGAAATGACATCAATCACAGTGGGTAGGAACATTGTTTCTTTTCCTATCTTCTGACTGAAGATTCGAGGACACTCTATTTTTGTTGGTCCCTGTGCAACAGATCCCCTTAGATTTCTCTGTATCTCTTCCTAATGACAGTGTGCTGCTAGGGTTGCTATGATAGGGCACGTCACCAAACCACCTACAAATCCTCCCCCACTGAACCATTAACTCGTTTTAGATGGACTGCAGCCGTTCTGGTGATCTGTTGACAAGTACAGACGAAGTTCTGTTAAGATTTTAATAACAGATATTGTGACTCGCAGACGAATAATTCATGTTTGTACTGTAAGCAATCACAGAAACATGTCACTAGGTGGACCTGTTTGTGTATGCTGTGTACATGCATAATAATTTTTGGGCCGCAAAATAACACAGTGGTGCGTAACAGACATGCAACTGACTATTTAATCTTGTCTGTGTCTGATATCCATGAGTGTTTCGTCCACTAGCTGAGTCAATGTGTTGACCCGACCTGTTCTTTTATGGAAAACAAACCATCCATCGGTTAAATGTGTGCAGCGTTACAGGCCTACATGTTGCAGTGCTGTTGACATTCCTAAGTAGCTGATCCGTGCGGATGGCAGCAGAGTGGACATGATGGTATTTCCTAAATAATGCAGCAGGACAGAGTGCAGAGCATGAGGAGGAGAGGGAGAAAGTGGAAGGAGCAATGTGGAAAGAGCAGATAGCTGATCTTAAAAGGCTGCTTTCCAGTCACCGTCGACCTGTGTAAACACATCCAATCTCATAGAGAAACAGAGGGATGGATAAACAAGTGCACTCAGCAACAATAGGCATCCAAACCACCCAAAAGTATCCTAGTTGACCGGCAGCCTGTCCGGAGTCTGATCTCATGATCGAGACCATCAGGGACTGGAGACTGGAGCCTTTGACTGCTGTTTCACTGGGTTTCACAGAGAATCGCATTGTGCTGTGTGCGTCACGATTGAATGGCATGTATTGTTAAGTGTTTCTCTCAGCTAATGATGTATGAACTCTCTATCAGGCCCACACTCAGCATACGGTGTAAGAGACTTGACCAGACTGCCAGCACAGTGCAGAGCTTTCACAGAGGTGCCGACTCTGAGCTGACACTGCTGACATTTGTAGTCACATACTGGAGCAGCCAACAGGCTTGATCAGAGTTATTAAAGGGTTATAGTGTGCGGATGGTAAAATGCTAGCATACTAAAAAAGGCAAAAAATGACTGCCAACTTTCATCTTCTACCACTGACATTTTGAGCTGCCTTCTCTTAGCTGTTTATTCCACTAATCTGTCATTAATACAATTATTCTAGGTTAAGTAAGACATTTGAAGGTGATGAGTTGTGGGTTTTTAATGCAAATCATTGTGCATTAGTTATTATTGTACAATATTGGGGGAAAATCTAATTTCTGGCATCAAAAAAGCAGTAGCTTTTAAGATCCCTCTGCATGACAGAATCCATCAGTGCAAAGTCAAAATACTGGAGAAATGATGCGACCGACTTTCCATTGAATTAATTAATTGCTAATTTAAGTAGTTAGCACAATTAGACAGTTAGCATGTGCCAGATTTTCACCTTGTCCTGTACATGAGCACGAACACGCTGGAGTATTGTGATGTGGATCGGTCTGAGCCACTTAGTTTGATTTGCAGAGCCAGGGCTGTGTGCGAACACTGGGTTGTTTTTTTCCCCCCAGCACACAGAACAGACAGCTAGCGAACTACGAAGACATCTGTTAGTCAAAGACTCCATTGAAGAAAAACATTAGCTGAGAACACTCGTACATTTTCATCTTTTGACAGTTTTAACTTATTATTTCTACCAGGATGATGCAACTCTGGCCTGTGATAAAATATACTGTATATAAAGCAGCTTAAAGAAACTGTGACATTTTAAATGCAAATGAAAAGAATCAGCACACCCAACCAATGTTAATGTTACCACAGGATAACTGCTTTTAAAAAACTAAAAACTTCATGCAGAATTCTTGTGGTCACTATTTGTTTTTCGTTGTCACATCTTCTTCTTAACTGGAAACTTGTTAAACAAGATGTAAACTGTCTGGGCCTGTTCAGTGCAAATACTTATTAGGCTCATCTTAGTCAGCGTCTAAGTCTCTTTGGATAGAGCTGCAACTGTGGACCTTCAGACTATGTGACTTGTCTGTTCTAATGTGAGAGTGAAAAGTTCATGAGAGAAAACTTTGGCATTGGTTGAAAATATGAGAAAAGCTCTTTCAAGATGTAAAACACTTTGTCAGCAAATCTGTGGAGATCTTTCCTGAGTTTGTCATGTGATGTAAACTGATATTATTTGTGTTTCTGACTTGCAGCTAACAAGCGCAGGAGTCTGTATGGAAGTCCGTACAACCAGCAGGGTTATGGAAGCCCGTATAGCACAAATGCAGCCAACAGCCCCTACAGCAGTGGCTTTAACTCCCCCTCCTCAACCCCCTGCAGAGTGCCCATAGTCAGACAGCAGCTAATGCCCAGTAACGCAGGTAAGGTTGTCTCTGTAGTTCATTGTCTGTCACAGAATATTTCTATAGTATACCACTAAAAAGTTCAAATGATTTCCTCTCCAGTACACCAGCGAAACGCAGCAGCAGACAGGAATCCTCCGGCGGTTAGTCCACAGTCATCAGTGGACAGCGAGCTGAGCACGTCAGAAATGGACGAGGACTCAGTGGGCTCCTCGACTACGTACAAACTCAATGATGTCACTGATGTCCAGATACTGGCACGCATGCAAGAAGAGAGTATGTACCTGGGTCAGCACTGTTCCTCAGTTTTCTGCAGCCCAACAGTTTAATTACAGTGTAACTGTTTGTCAATAGGTTTGAGACAGGACTACGCTGCAACGGCATCCCGACGGAGCTCGGGTTCGTCCTGCCACTCATTGCGGCGCAGCACCTTCAGCGACCAGGAGTTAGACGCACACAGTCTGGAGGACGAGGAGGAGGCGGTGCACCCGGCTTTCCACCTGCCCTCCAATCGCTTCAGCCCGTCTCCTCGCCACTCTCCCCGTGCCTCCCCCAGGAACTCTCCCCGCTCGCGCTCCCCAGCTCGATCCATCGACTACAGCCACAGCCACAGCCGCGGCTCGCCTCAGCCCATCATCAGCCGTCTGCAGCAGCCTCGCCACTCGCTGCAGGGCCATGGGCACGACCTGCAGACCAATGTGGTGAAGAACGAAGGTAAACATTTTATTGATGTGTCTGTGGTTCACCATGTGCTTTTTAGGGATGATACTGATGACCATTTTGGGAATCAAGAGAGACCATGACTGATATTTTACACCTACATACATTACATGTTATAGTTTAACAGCATGTGATATCAGGGAATCTGTCATTCAGAACTAGACTTTTTCATTAATAAAGATTTCTGTAGCTGAAAATGTGCACTAGCAATAGGAATCACACGTCAGAGCATCACAGGATGCTGGGACGCTCTCTTCTGTTTACTGAGATCAACTGACTGAGACTGAACAGTTTGTCTCCTTCAGTTTCGTCTGATGTTCTTTGTTTTGTGAATCTTTTACTATTCTGTCACTTTTATTGCCCACTAATTCCCATATTTTAAAGCATTATTAGTTTCTGTTTTCCAAAAATTGTTTAAGGGTAATACGTGGCTGCCTCCTAGCCTAGTTGTTAGCGTAGCCTTGGCTGCTGGGAGAGAAGCTAATTTCCTGGTTTGTTGTGACAGCTTGTGTTTCTTGTTCATGTTGTTTCTGTGCTAGAGAGACAATGCTGAGCCCACAGAGTTATTACACAGAGAGAGAGAGAGGCAGCTGCATCACACCCAAAGTAGTGCATGTACTTTATCGCTAATCAGTTAATAAAAACAACAATACAGATTACTGGATTTAATTAATATTGGCCCCAATAATTGGCCAGGATGATTATTGTTCTCTACCTAATGTGTTGTTTTTGTGGATCTAATTGCCTCCTGCGTTGCCGTTGTAGAAAAGCTGCGTCGTAGTCTTCCCAACCTCACGCGATCCTCAGCGGCGGTTACAGCTCAGGCACCAGAGCCCGTCAAGAACAGCCGCAGCTGCGAGTCCAACCTGCAAGTGCCAAACGGAGGCTCTCCTCGACACCAGAACCAGTCTGCAAGTGAGTTTTTACCAGACCCAAACAGCATCTTTGCAAGTGATCTAATGTGACTGCATACCTCCACAGTTGCACACAAATCTTTATGCTGCAATAGCTTTCAGACCATCAAAATCATTACGGAATTCACTTTGTTGTCTGCTGACATTCTATCAATATTTGTTTTGCTTTCCAAGTTCAGCAACATGACAGGCTGTGTAATCTCATGTTACTCTTTGTATGAGTGGGAATTCTGTTAATCCCTCTGGCTGCACCTAAAGTCTGGGGACTGTGCTGCTTTGTAGTGACATGGCTTTGGTGTTCGGGGATCCTCTTTGTCTTTGATCATTTTTAGTTGTAATATCTTTTATTCACACGCATCCTTCCTCTTATTGTCTCAACGTTACTTTCACTTCAAAGACACACACTCCTCCTGTGGAATAAAAGCATGATGCCACCAACACTGAGAGAATCCAGAGTGACTCCTGGTATCTGTGACACTAACATAGTTTCACATTTCCCCATTTGATGGTTTTATGTTCTTTTAGAGCTTACAGTCCTACCTCTCTGAGCTAAGACTATCCATTTGATGTAATCCTGTAATGGGAGATAAAGGTAATGGTGTTGTTCTTAAGCCAGAAGCAGTAATGCCTCTCTGTTCGTAGAAGCAGATAGGAGGGGGGTCAAAGGGCAGGTTTCAGCTGGTTAAAAGTGTAGTGACTGCCTTTATCCAGTCTTAACCAGCCCTCTGTGGGGCAGGGTATAGTGTTGATGTGGCCTGAGCTTCTGGCCTTTATGCATTAGAACAGAAATTGCGTTTTCACCTGAGTCTTTATAGAGATATTGTACGTTGCTCTGTTGACTGGTGGTTGAATGTGTTTTTCTATCTGAGCTTTGGCTGTACTGAGCATGTGAGACACTTAAATGGCTGCTTCTTTCACTGACTTCTCTTCACTGTAAAGCATGCGTAACACAAACCAGCCTCCTTTTCTCTGCCTGTGCTGAGACTGGTAGATTGGCTGTTAAACTTGACAGTGGCAGTGACACTTTGCTCTGGCAGCCTGCTGCTCCTTCACTTTAAATAGTCTGCAGAGCCCCCTCGTGGCCTCAAACTGCACTTCAAGCTTGAATGGCCTTCAACAGACCATTTTTACTCATAATGCTGTGAATCTGAGGCAGAATCAAGTCCCATGCTGACATCTCCCTGTTTTCCAGCAGCAGCTCAGCTCCCAAGATACTCTCCCCCTTCTCGCTCCTCCCCGAAACCAAAACAGCACCTCCAACGTCCAACTGCCCTGCGAGGTAACAGCCTGCTCCTAAACTGGCCGGGGGCTGTGAGATTGATCTCCCACGGACGTATGCACAATTTATGACACACTAAAGTCAGCTGCTGGTGGACTGACAGTACACAGACTACTGATAAGAGTAAACGTTGAACTGGCTATATTTATGGACTTGAAGTGGATATGAGGAAAGTGCATTAATGCACTCGCTGCCAGCTTGTCCTTTGAAGCTCTGAGACTGAAGAAATACTCTGAGTGCAGTTTTAGCATCGGTTTTTGTTGCTTTCTTGGCGAGAAAAAAAGGAAATACATCAGTGAAGCATGGTGCTTATAGTAACTGCCACAGGTGTGCCAACATGCACAAAAGATTTGACATTCACAATTTGAAGGGAGTGTCTATTTACTTGGTGATTGTGTTCAGCCGTTTCTTTACACAAAAACATCAAATCCATCACAGGCTCAGTCGGAACCTTATATATTCACTATAGTCTTCATTACATACAATTTTAAGTTTTGCTGTGATATCTACTTAATTGTGTTTTTTATGACATTATGCACAAACTCCCCTGCCAGTGCTGATATTTCTTTGGCATTTTTATACAAATTTAAAATCTACAACTCTTCATCAGGTTTTTCCAAAAATGAGCTTTACTGATGGAGTCCGTGACTGCGGAGGAAGTTTGTTGACATTTTGTTTTTTAGCATTGAGAGTTAGCACATACCATTTTACCATCTCTCTCGCTCCCACTATGAGGTGCTTAAAGAAACAAGCGAGCCTTCTTTACCAACATTTTCCCTTGAGCAGTCTGAAAATCAATGCAGCAAGACCATAGCTGTTTTTAATCATGTGCATTCTTCTGAAACCTGGCACCCACAATGCATCACAGCTGCCAACAGAAACGCTTTAAATGTGTGTGTGTTGTGCTGTTAGGGGTTAATGTAGCCTTGAGTCTTTTCCCTAAAGCAGATCTAAAGAGAGGTCAACAGAGGTCTAGTAACATCACTGATTTCTAACTGCACATGTTCAGATTTTCTTCTATTTGCAGACTACAAGACTACAAGTCTTCAGTGACCGACACTGGTTGTAATATCAAAGTTTTAGCAGCTCTCTTTGGAGACACAAACGGCTTTATCTAACCTTTTTCCATACTGAATGTGAAAGTACTTACCAACAATTGCAGACAGATGCCCTTTTCAAACATCAGATATGTGACATTGCTGCTTCACTGATCTGTTAAAGTGATGCCATTCTGTCATTCAGACACTGATCAGCTTTATGTTCCTCATGGCTTCATTCAGGCATACTAACCACAGCGACTGAGACAGCCATGATGCGTGCGCCAAAGACTAAATCTAAACTAACAGCAAGCTTATGAAACTGTCCATTAACTAATAGACAAGTTTATTTATGATTTTCTAAACACTGAAATTTCTGTTCACGTACTATGATAATGTAACTACTTCTTTACCATCAGTAAAATGAAAATATCCTGACAGCTGTGATGGAGCTCAGGACTCTGAGGAGAAGTGCTCTGTAACAAAAGGTTTAACTGCAGCTTATAAACTGTGATTTAGAAGAAAAGTCTACAGCGTGGTTTGCAGTTCGATCCTGGCCAATCTGAGCTCCATGTCGGGGGATAATTTATAGTTAGTGGTGACTAATGAAGTTACTTGTGTTGTTCCATGTGCGCAAATGAACACAACTCTCACTTTGAACAGAAAAGTGAAATTGGTAAATCTTCCTTAAATCACTTTACACAACTTGAACAAAGTCGCTTGTATGTGCCCGTTCACTTATGCAGTTCACACTTGTGCCGTGTTGAAAATTAAATATAAACATCACAAGGTACAACCTAGTGAGATCACAGTTGCAACTTTTATGGAAAAGTGATCAGTGTGTTCATTCAGACAGGAAGAGATTAACAGAAAGGACCGCATGTCTGAAAGGGACTGGGGTTTGAGGAGATCTTTTAATATTCATACTATATAGGCCAAGGCTACATGACAGCACATCATCGCCTCCCTCACCGTCCCATCACTACTCACAGCTACACTCTGCACTCAGGCTAGTTGATGGTAAGGCATATTTTTTACATGGCATGTTGGATTGTTGCTTTTGTTGGTTGAGAGCCATGTAAGTTTGTTAGAAAACAAACAGGAAGAAAGAGACACCACATTAAACTCCATCCTTGGCACCTTCCTCCCTGCTCTGAATTAAGGCCTGTCTCTGTTGTCTTCGTCTTTGTCTAGTCCCACTCTCCTGTTGCTTTGGAGAAGATGGTGATTTCAGTGAGTATTCACTGAGGGCTTCCACCTTTTAAATATTGTGATTGTGGTTCCATGGTCGTATTGATGTTGTGCTGCTGGTTCTCACTAGTATATGCTGTGTCTGTGTTGTCACCTCATCCTGTCAATGCATCGAGCATCCTAGCAGGCAGCTGCATTAGTTAACCTTTCTGTTTTCATTTACTTCTGTTTTAAGATTATTGTCTAGTTTTTTTTTTACTTTAACAGATTTGACTGCATTTGTGAAACTTGAATGGATGTGGTTAGTATACTCCTACTCACTGAATGTACACTGGCATCATATTGGTATCTTCCTCACACCATTGTGCTCTTGGTCATGACTTCATTGTTAGACTGACAGATTGAAACCTATGAACGTGTATGAGGACACTGTACCATTAACCAGTTGTACCTGACTGTATTCCTGCTCTGCCTGTCTTCAGTCCCCTCTCCCAGCAAGCTGCGAACGCCTGCCACTCCATCCCCGCTGGCCTTGAGGCAGCCTGTGAAGGCCACATCCACCCCTAATTCTGCCACCTCCACACCGACCCGCTCCTTGGCTGCTCCACGCAGTGGCCTTCCGCGACCCAGTGCAGGAGGTGGAGGAGGAGGAGGAGGAGGAGGCATCCCTCTGCCCCGCAGCAAACTGGCCCAACCTGTGCGCAGGTATGTACTTCCACAGACACAGTCAAGGCTACACAACACTTAAGTTTTAGCATCGACATTGTAATGTGCAGATGTGCAGTAGCAACATCCCAGACATTATAATGTGAACAATCATGCTTTAACTCTTTAACTTTATTTGCTCCAAAACTACAACTTCCATGTTTTTTTTATTTTCCATCTATCAGAGAAGGTTCTGTGATAGAACATAACGTTATCTAAGGCTTTTTGGCTACACATTTTTGTGTTGTTTTTTTACTTGATTTACAAGAGACTTATAAGAGTTCATTGACATGCAGGCTCCACATGCGCACAGCAAAATGAGCAACGGACAGGAAAGAAATACTGAAAAGGAAGAGTTGGTTGCAAAGAGTAACACAATGTCAGTGGTATAAAGTAATTCAGCTACAATCAGGCTGACATTGACCTAAAACAGGTTCTCTGTCTGCAGTGTTTTGTGATTGTTGCCACTACAGGAGGCAATACAACTTGTTTGTTTGACCATGTAAATCAGCCTTCACACGCGACTTTAGAAATTTTTAAACTTTTTTATGCAGATGCACTGTCCTACAAAATCACACCAACTGGTCTGAATGTACTACGTGTGCCCCTAAAAATGCACAGTTATAATGTATTTTAATTGGCTAAAGTATCATTATTTTGCAAATATCTGTGTATTAGGGTGGGAAAATTGTAGTTTAAACAGATATATTTAACTCATCTGGTGAGATTTTCATATTGCAATATATATATATTGTGGAAAAACAAAATATGGCAATGACAGTTTTTTCCTATATATCGTTCATCCTTAGACACTATGATATTCCCTTGCACATATATAACTAGATAAATACTACATTACCTCCTCTCAGGTCTCTTCCTGCTCCTCGGACGTACAGCAACACAGGCGAGAACTGGCGAGAAGGTTGTTACTGATGCAGCCAGCAGGGGGCGCTCCAGTCACACTACCAACACAAGGAGGCAGACATTACAACACACGGCACTTTATCTACCTAGATAACTTTTACAGTGAAGAAGGAGAGACTATGTCCCAAAAAATATATACAATTCAGAATTTTTTTAAAAAAAAGGAGAGGACAGTGTCCACATTGTGTCAAAGAGGACCTCCCATCGTGCTCCTCTGTGGGGACTGGCTCTGGAGGGATCAGGCATGTAGTGCAGACAGCCCAGAAAATGCCAAAGAAACCAGGCCGACTCCAGCTCCGCCAGCAGAGGACACATCACCTGCCTTGGTTCGACTGCAATCATCCGTGCGACAGTTCATATCTCTACATGCCCGGCTTTCCTCCCCCTCCTCTCCCCCCCCATTCTTCTTTCACCTCCCTCAGGTCGAAATGTTTCCACACATTTCTCTCTTTATGCTCTGTGTTTAACAGATGTCGGTGAGCGATCTCTATGATGATGCTGTGCAGGTGAACTGTCCCGTAACGTTCGAGAAATTTGTTGATGTCTTGCAACAGTGAAAGCACCTCCGTGTGGGTATGACATTTAAAGAATCTTTCCTCTTGTAAAATCAGCCAGAATGTATGCACAAAGTTTGTTTTGGAAATTATTTATTCAAATTATTTAAGAAGTGTATGTCCAAACATCCATATCAGTATTTTTGTTTGAAAATTTCAGTTGTTTAGAATATACATTTTGAACCTCAACTGCAAGCTAACTCTCCAAAGTCTTTTTTTTTTTGTTGTTGTTTGTTGTTGTTTTCAAAGTGTCAAATCAGGACTCGAGAGAAACCCGGGTGGTTAATGACACCTCGGCCAAAGCCTCAGTTCTGACTTGTACCACAGTTTGCCAAGATTATACTTTTCCATTGAAGTGCTTAAAGTGGTCATTTTAAGAATAGGTGGAATTAAAGTCTGAGTTCTATCTAAAATTCTGTTTAAGAAAGAAACCTGAGCTATTTTATCCCTGTTCACCCATTTAGCCAATTAAACCACGGAAACTTGTGGTTTGTTAAATTCCCATAACAGATTTGTCAGTGTGTATCATTCATATCATTAAAAAAATAACAAAAAAAATATGGATAACTGTCGTGAATAAGAATAAGACGACAAGTTCTGACTGGCTTTTACCTCTTGTGCTATGAAAACGAATCAAACGGCATGCCAGTGTTAGGGAAGGTGTTCTGGTTCTTGGTGTGGTGGGTGTTCTTAAACTAGTGCCTATAATTTAAAGTTTCACTTGAGTTTGAACATCATGTTCTGTTTGTATGTTTATCATTTTGTGCCAATTTCTGGATTTGCCAATATCGTTTGCGATTCAGCATCTCTGCTTGATTGATTTGCTTGCCTGTTTGTTTTTTGTAATTTAAAAACAACACATTTATAATTGCTTTAAAAAAAATGTTTAATATGCGCCTTCATATCTATTTATAACTAATTACTCTGTTCTGTAAATGAAACTATTTATTAAAGAGAGAGGTGCCTCTGTCAAAGCTCAGATTCGGTGGGAAGCGAGGACGAATGTTGCAAAAAGACATACCACACCTTTTGTGTGACAGTTTTTGTTATTGAAATTTTTTTTATATCCACAAACATGACATTCGGTTTCCCTGTGTAAAAGTCACATTTCAAATAAAAGCTTAAAAGTTATTGTCTCTTTTTGTTGATGTCTTTTGTTTGGAAAAGGAAAAGAGGTTTGGTTTCCTTTCATACAGTGAAATCAGATGATCCAATCCACAATGTGAAAACAAAGCAAATTCAAGCTTTAAGGTGAGACACTACAAGCAAAAACACTTTCTTTCACACTGATCAATTCGGAGATTTTGGGCTGTTATGCTTCTATGTTGTTTCTTTCGACGAGTGTAAAGACATGTTAAAAATACACAGTGTGGTGTTCATTTTTACTATATCGTACTAACTTATTACATTATTGGCCAAAAGATATTACGTTATCGGTTCCAGACTTTCATTACGTTAGTGGCCTATTACATTTTAAAAAGTGCAAATTTACTACATTGTCGGCCGTTGTTACGTTATCGACTGTTATTACATTATTGGCTTCTACAGGCCATCTTCTCAAAATGAGTTTTTCTTTAAACTTTGAAGTCTCACCTTCAACAGTACTTACATGCACTAAACTTTACAGTTTTATTTCCATCTATAATTTAAAGGATTATACAGTAGAGGTGATTCACATATTATTCATAATATGATTTAGAGGACAGTTTGTTCCTCCAAACATGGCAAAAATGCATTTTCTTCCAGACTCTTGAGAAAATGTTCTGATTTATAGAATAAAAAAAATCCTAAACCTCACTGTAGAAAACCTTTGGCTCTAATATGTCAGCAACATGAACTAGAAGGTGGCTTTATATATTTGTCTTAATATACGCAATAAACTATTTAATGGTGATATCTATTAGCTGGATTTTTTGTCCCCTTTTCTCCAGTAGTCTTTTGCCTTAGTACTGCTATTTAGGTACCGTTCAAGTCTAAGGTACTGACACACTTGATTCTTTTTTAAATGACTTTCAACTTCTACTCCACTACATCCCCGAGAGAAACATTACTTTTTTTTACTACAGTTACTTGACAGCCTAATTAGCTTACAAATTTGGACTTTCACATGAAAAATACTTAAAGAGCTCGTAAAATATGCTGTTTTGTGATGAACTAAACCACCAAGCAGTTTATACAAGAACAGCTGACAAAATCAGTCAACTGACAGAATATTAAAACATTTTTCAAGGACAACATTTCATTTTCATTTGAGCAATTTTAATGCATTTTAAATGAATTCAGACTGGTTCAGATTGTTGGTTGGACAAAACAGGTGCCTCTTTAAGCTCATGAATTGCGATGACATTTCTTCCTATTTTCAGAATTTTTATAAACTTAATTGATTAGCAGAGTAAATCACCTGCAGATTATTCCATGCTGAAAATAACCAGTACAAAATAGTTCAAAATGGGCTCCAGCTCAACCAGCTGCAACAGTAAAACCCTGCTTTTACAATAATGCATGAATGCTAATAATTAGTGTAGCAGTCACAGTGGATATTTGTTCTGCATTGAGTACTTGTGTCATTAATACTTTATGCACATTTTCCTGATTGTAGTTACGTACTCAACCCTTTATGGGGCAAGTGACCATATTTGGTAACTTCCCTCCTTCTACTTGAGGTTCAAGAACCATGTGCACTTTGGTTTAGTTTTTATATTAGTGCCAATATCACTACCTTATGAAAAACAGATGTTCCAGGCACTTCATAAACGCTTTGTTACTGGTTTGCATTGAACTCCACTTTGATTTATTTTTTGAGATTAGAGCCAAAACCACTACCCCAAGAAAAATGCTACTAAATGAACTTGCCAAGCACTTTATAAAAACGTTGCTACTGGTTGTGTAAATATCATTACCTCAAACTAAAATGTTTCTAAATAAATGTTTTTGCAGTTTGTTACTTTTTCTTTTGTATATTATAAATTCCCTTTTTTGAACTGTAGACGGGCAAGTTACCACATATCGTAACTTTACTCATCTTGATTTGCAACATTTTTTTTTTTAAGTCACAAAAGTACAAATATCTTGAAATATCCTTCAGTAACACCCTAGGGTGGATATTTTCATTTTCCAAGTATTTCAAGGAGTGCCCTATAAAGGGCTAAACTTTCACTGAAGTGCGTTTTAAATGCAGGACACACTTGTGATTAAGTATTCTGCAGTGTGGTATTTGTACTTTTCCTCCACCGCTGGACACAATTGACAAAAAGCTCTGCAGCTCACTCAAACCTGAAGATACAGTTTGTTGTAAAATAAATCCACTATTTTATCCTTTCAGTACTTGCTCTGGTTGTATAAATCTGTCACTGCATTCTCTCAGTCTTTACTTCAGGATTTATATTTGCTAAAAAATTACTTTGTGCTCGATCTACTGTCGTTGTCATTAACAGACCTGAATATAAATCAGGTTTATTGAAGGGTTCAGTTATTTATACTCTACTGTACCTCTGTTCTGGTGTCATACGTTCAGCTGCTCAGGGGACAGTGACATATTATGTATTCTGCACACAGACAGTATTACGTACCTGGAGACACCCTCTCTTTAATGAGGTGGGTGGGTACACGGCGTGTCTCCGGGAAGGGGAGGAGACTGAAAGCCTGACTCACTGACTGCTGCAAACTGTCCCGTCCCCCTTCAGCCCTGAAGACATTGGTGACGTCAGTCGATTCCCTTTTTTTTTCCAGACGCTCATCTTAGACTGTGATATCACAGCCTGCTGCTTCTGCTGGAGTCTCACTCAGGATCATTACCTGCAGACACACAAAACACACACAGCTCACACTCACTCAGGAATTTGATGTATTATTGTCGGGAGCAAAGTGTCAGAGCGGCAGACCACAATATTTCACTTATGCGGCTCATGTTGTCTGACTTAGAGGACACTCAAACGGTGTCATTGGGAGAAACTAATGGACTGAAATTCAATAGGACAGCTGAAGAGAAACTGTATGAAAAGAAGCTGTGGGGTCTGAGGTCTTACTGCAGGGATTACTCAGTTGCCATTACTGACTTTTTCTAACATGTTATAGACCAAACAAGTAATTGACTACTCAAGAAAATAACCGAGTTGCAGCTCTGCTCTATGACATATAAAAAACACCAGACTTCACCACAAGTATTTTACAGCAGAAAATAATTTTAGCACTTTTCCCACACTTAGCATCTGACTTACAAAAAAACGTACACAAAAAGCAAAAAGTGTCCCCGCTTAAACTCTCCGCCTGCATCTGGACAGATTATATATATAGATCAAAGATGACAACAGAATGTCTCTATTTTCAATCTAATTTCTAATCTAGTCTTATCTAACTTCCGATTCAGGCAGCAGTGTCTGATTCATTTGGTCTCAGGTTCACTGTGTAAACAATGATCAAGGACAGTAATTCATTATAGCTGTGAGTGGAAGAAAGAATCATGTTAATAATGATAGGCACAGAATTCTCAATAATTAGAACCCATGCATTGGCCCTAAAACAAACAAACAAACAAACAAACAAACAAACAAACAAACAAAAAACCCACAATATTTACTCAGGGGTGGGGTTGTGTTATTTGTCTTGAATGTGCAGAAAGTTTAGACATGAGTAGACACTGTGCTAAAACAAATCAGAGGTATTAAAGTTTAGGAGTTTTGTGAATTTCTAAACCTTTGGACGTTTTTTCAATATAAATTTTATTTGGAGAGATTATTTCTCCAGAAAAAACCCACAAAACAAAACAAAAGAAGAAACCAGTCCAACTGTATATGATGCTGACACATCATGGATAACACCTATGAGCCTTTCTACAATATATTCCTTTATATTTTTAATTGTGTTTGTATTGTCTCTTTAACGTTCAAACCAAACGCACACTTAAGTCAATAGTCATCTATTAAACCAAACAAGAGAGCTGCCCAACGTAAAGTTTGAGATCAAGATTCGTGCGTAATGCGCTCTTCGTGGAAAAAAAAAAAACAGGCTGACCAACAAAAGAAACAGGCTGGCGGATTTTCACAGTTTGCTGCACGAGTATAAAGATCAGCACACTTTTCATTCATGCAGGCTGTGCTTACTCAACCTCGACAAAAATCTGTCTTCATTTTCCCTGCATCTGTATAATCTCCTTCATGCTTCTTCAGAACATGCGAGGAATAAAATAGCATCAAGTTAGACTGAGAGTCATTTTCCAAATTGAAAACTGTCAATATGTAATAATTGGATTGATATTTTCGGGACCTTTTCCTATACGGAGCGCAGCGCAGTATAAAAGGGCAGCCTGGGCGTTATTGATTGGCCCTTTCAGTCCCGCTGAAGCTGGAGACCGTGTGCAGACTCCCCTCCAGCAGTCTAGCGCGGAGCCAATCTGTGGCACCAGTCTGACTCAGTAAGTCGCTTTAAGACTATCAGTGCCATGGCACCATCACATCCTCCGGCCACTGGATCCCCCGCAGTTTCTTATTAGAGCCAGCGCGCCACTAGGGGAATCATTTTACGCACGAACACCTACAGGCACAACCCGACTGTGGCGAGTCTCTGTCCTCCTGTTGCGCCATGGAGAACTCCAGCCTGCTGGATGGCAGCGCGCGAAATGCTGCCCTGGTGGACTTTCTTTTGTCGGACACTTTAATGCAAGTTGTGAACTCTCCGGAGGTCGGTGTCTTGGATGGATTAGGAGTCGCCAGTGGTGCCATGTTTCTTGACGCATCCAGGACTGCCGCCGGAGCTGAGTTCATGGCCGCTGTCCCGACGGAATCCCCTCACCTGATGCCTGCCTTTTGGGATTCCCCGCTGAGCCATGGAATCAATGTATTTGTGGGACTGGTCCTGTGCTTCACTATGTTGGGGCTGGGCTGCACGGTGGAGGTGAGCCAGCTCGGAGAACACATCCGCAGACCCATCGGGGTGCTGCTGGCTCTGGTGTGTCAGTTTGTTATCATGCCCTTGGTGGCCTTTCTTTTGGCTTTAGCCTTCTCTCTGGATGATGTGGCGGCGATGGCCGTTCTCCTCTGTGGCTGCTGTCCTGGAGGGAACTTATCAAACATCATGTCTCTGCTGGTGCACGGAGAGATGAATCTAAGGTATTGTACTCACCCGTACATAACACTAAGTGAGTTATCATATGACACTGAAAGCAGTGTTTTCCGTTATTTCTGTGCGTAAACACCAGAATATTACGCACAGACATAAAAGAAAATAGATCAACTTTAAGCATGATTTTAATGTTCTGCATGCTTTCTTAAAGTCAAGTGTTTATCAAATTTAACTAAAATGAGCCAAAAAATAATATTAAAAAAAATCTATATCACGTCCACCATACACCCTGTAACCGCGCGTCTTTGCTCTCCTCTCCAGCATCATCATGACCATATCTTCCACTCTGCTGGCGCTTGTTTTGATGCCGCTCTGTCTGTGGATCTACAGCCGAGCCTGGATCAACACACCTGTGGTCAACCTCATGCCCTTCGGGGCCATCATCCTGACCCTGTGCAGCACTCTCATCCCCATTGGTTTAGGAGTTCTGCTTCGGTACCGTTATACGCGTGTGGCCGACATTGTTTTAAAGGTAATGTCAAGTGAGCAATTTATCAAAGTTACTTTTTATGATCAGCTCAGTCGTTCTGTGTCAGCAGGACGCGCAGCACTTTTGGTTGGGGACCACCTTTGCGTAAAAGCGCACTGCGTATTTTTCGATGCGTGTCTTTAGCAGAAGGGAGATGGTGACCGCAGGAAGAGTGACATCAGAGTGTCAGGAAGAGCTCCTCCCTGCCATTTCTGATAAAAGCCACCCGTGAGGGAGGGCCACATCAGTTAGAGCAGACAATAACGTTAGGAAGTAGAGATGCTCTGATGCAGCCCTGTTTGGAAAGTCAAGTCAGTTTCAATTAAATATAAAGAAAGAGAGGATGCAAGTCTAACAACTCATGGTCCCCTTACTTATGATAAACATACAGGAAAAACTCAAAATACAAAAATATACTAAAAAGAAAAACCCAAAATCCTAGAAGAAAGGATGAGTTGGCATGTCAAGTCTTTTTAAAATCCCTCTCTTGTGCCTGCAGGCCTCTCTGTGGTCTCTGCTGGTCACCCTTGTGATGCTGTTCATCCTGACCGGAGCGATGCTGGGGCCAGACTTGCTCTCCACCATCCCGCCTTCTGTCTACGTGGTGGCCATCCTGATGCCTCTGTGCGGCTACGCTGCAGGTTACGGCCTGGCCACGCTCTTTGACCTGCCTCCCAACAGTCGCAGGGCCGTCTCCTTGGAGACCGGGTGCCAGAATGTGCAGCTGTGCACCGCTATCCTCAAGCTGGCCTTCCCTCCTCAGCTGATGGGGAGCATGTACATGTTTCCCCTGCTGTACGCCCTGTTCCAAGCAGCCGAGGCCGGCATTTTCATCCTTGTTTACAGGGTGTACAGGAAGAAGGTCCTACACAAGCCAGATCCCATGATGGACGGTGAGGACACGGACATAACATATCAGAGGTTTCAAGATGAGGACTTTGACTCATCTTATGGTGCGGTGACTGTGAGCGACCCAAACTCCATCATGTTGGACCCCTGTCCCCCTGATCCAACTCCTGTTTAATGTGCAAATGTAAAAAAGCAATCCCTGCTCTTGATGTAGGGGCGCAAATTAAGAGCTGCAGGTGGATTTATCATTTTGATTGCTGTCATTCATTAAAGAAAAAAAAGCAAACATGGAAAATAATGAGACTATGGGACAATATGCAGGGAAATCCAGAGTGTTTATCATTAACATGACTGCTTGAAAAAAAAAAAAAAAAAAAGGTGCTACATGTCATAAGCTTAATTCATTCAACTCAAACATTCCTGTCTATTGTAGAGATGAAAACCACCAACATGTTAAAAAACATATACAGTCAAATCACCATCAAAACAAGACAGCATTTAGTTTCAGTGCTTTAAGTGTGTGTGTGTGTGTGTGTGTGCGTGTGTGAGACTAAAAGCCATGTGACAAACATATCAGCATTGCTCATGTGCAGATTTCCAAACAAGCCTGTGCCAAACCAGTATCTGTGCTCCACAGTCTGAACAAACTGTACCATATGTGTATATTATAAACAGCTGTATCAAGAGAAATTAAAGAAACTAAACTGAACTTGTACACCTTGGTCACGTGTCTGCTGATCTTTCATGTCACACCTGGTCTTAATCAGGCCTGATGGCGCGCCCATGTCGCCCAGTCTATTTAAATAGTTACAACGACCAGCCTGGGTTGGTTGAACAAAATGGCAACGTATGGTGAGGAGCCAGTCGACAGCTACTTCTATGCATCTTACAACCCCTACCTGGGCAGATACCCCCGGCCTAGAGACGCGGGGTGGAAATATAAAAGTTACCTCTCCCACTATGGAGACTCTTCTGACGCCTTCAACAACCACCAGCGCGCCCAGCTGAAGTCCATCTTATCCCAGATCAATCCCAAACTCACCCCGAGGCTCCGGAAGGCGAACACCAAGGATGTGGCGGTGCAGGTCAACCCCAAGAAGGACGCCTCGGTGCAGTGCTCCATCGGCCCGCGGACCCTGCTGGCTATGAAGCGGGACTCCCAGCGCAAGAGGCGGCAGGAGCCCGGCGGCATTGGTAGCCCCAAGGCGGCGGGCGTTGTGCGTTACCCCCGCACCCTAGCGGTGTATTCCCCCATAGCGTACCGGAGCGTCACCTCCTTCCTGGTGGATGAAAACAACAACAATAAGGAGGCCACCTGCGAGGAGCCGCCCGGGGACCCGCCTGAGGGGGACACCGAGGGGAAGAAGGACGAAGACAACCACGCCAGCGAAGATGGAAAGACCTTAAAGCTTCCAGAGCAGAACAAAAAGACCAGAATCAAGCAGCAGGTGAAGAGCGAGGACGGAGAGTCCGCTGCGGAAGAGTCAAAGATCAGGGCGAGGGTCCGCTTCCAGGTGAGCTGGTCCTTCGGTAGCCATCTTGTTATCACCCCCCAAAGGTTATTTCAGGCCAACAAGACCACACCTGTATAAAGACAGACATAACTGTTGTTTTAATGTCCACAGGGACATTAGACCGACATGTACATACTCACCAGTCAAATTAGATTTAAAAACGGCTTTAAAAGTTTCACAAATCTCCCCAAAATAAAGTTTAGCAAGCATTTCTTCTCATGCAATATACATCTATTGCGCAGGCGCAGTGTCAATCTACACAACCTGAACACCCGCAATCTTTGAATTCTCCCAGATTCCTACTCACGATTCTTGAAATGTCTTTTAATATTTCACAGCAAGACAGGACATGTATTGTCAATAACTGTAATTGTTATTGGTCCAAAATATTTCAGATGACCACAATAAATTCTTCATGGGACAAATAAAGGCACTTTTATGTCTGTAGATTTCAGTTTTCCAGCTCACTCTGTAAACCTAGTTAAAAGCAACTGGACTTCTTCAAGGTTCTTGGTGACATTTATGCCTTTTAAAAATCTTGAAGTCCAGTTGATTTTTTTCTCAAGCTCCTCGGATGTCACATGTACTGTTACTGTATGAGGCTTCTCATTACAGATATGTACTGAACCATGACTATTATTTTCCAGTTTCAGATATTTACAGTTTCTGTCTTACTAGTCATAATTCTATTTTATTTATTCAACCTTTATTTTACCAGGTAAGTTAATTGAGAACTGGTTCTCATTGTCAATAACGACCTTTAAGATATCTTCAGTCTCCCTCACTGTCACCAGATCTACAATGTTCTTTTTAGATATCTAAAGTTTGAACTAGTCGGAAGGACATCGAAGGCTTCTCAGTGCAAAACTGCCAAGTCAAAGTGGAACTGGATGTCTTGAATTAGAGTTTTGACCAATTAAAATGATTTTGCAGAAGTCTGGTTGCATCAGAAGCTTCAGCGAGGGGGAGGTGGCTTGTGTTTGTTAAAAGTAATGTGGCACCATAACCGCATATGGCAAGTTCTCAGTAGGCTTAGTCCAAAGCCAGAGTAAAATTAAATCACAATGTACCCCTCATTCTCCACAAAGTGCTTGCTGATGAAATCTTCCTGTTTTCCAGCATTTTCCATCGATGTGATGCACCACAGCAGCTGCCGTCACTTCTAACAGTGTTCAGATGCTTTGCTTGACTGATCTCCACTGAGACATTTTAGATACAACCAACTATCCCGACTAGTCTGAACTGAATGGTGCTCATCGTTTTGACTAGATGAAATAGGTGGATTAAAAAATTCAGATTAGTCGGTGCAAATACAACTTGTGAAACGGTGCTGATATGTCGTAGCTTTGTTTTTTTTTTCCAAACAGCAAGTCCTTGATTAGATTTTTTTCAATACAGCTACTGAACAAAAATCAACTCATCTGCATTTTCAAAATAAAACACAAACCATAAGACCTCAAAATAAGCAACCTGGATTTGTATGTATTCGCTGTTAGAATGGACTTGTTTCAAAGTTAGCATTATATAGCATTGAACAGTAAAAATTCTTAGGGAAATTTAATTCTGCTATAGTAAACCCTGCCCTCATCCAGTTCACTTTGATATAAATAAATCATTTGGAAAATGTGAAACAAAAATATCTCCCCCTCACTGATGCTCTGTTTTCTCATCTGACTTTGTTGAAACTGACTGTAGTTTTAAAGTCATTAACGAGGTACACTTGTAATTTCCAGTTATAACAAGTGCAGTCTGACTATAAATACTCCTATTTTCTTCTGCACCCATGTGTTATTAGAACAATTTTAACTGAACTGAGTACATGTAAAATAGTGCAACACACTTTTATTTTTTAACTGATTTGCCTTTGGTCCATCAGTTTCTGGAACAGAAGTACGGATATTATCACTGCAGAGAATGTAATCTGCGATGGGAGAGTGCCTATGTGTGGTGTGTTCAGGGCACCAACAAGGTGAGCTCATGTTTAAGGTGCTATTTGTGTATATCCTGACAGATTGTAAATAAGTCATAGTTTACAAATGGTTGGCCTTTTTATGCAAAAAGTATTGTTTGTGGCTAAAATACACATTAATTAGGCCATTTTTAAGATGGAGACTTCTGTCATGACTACAGTGTGGTGTGTTCCAGGTTTACTTCAAACAGTACTGTAGGAAATGCCAAAAGGACTTCAACCCGTATCGCGTTGAGGACATCACATGTCATGTAAGCCATTTTCTCCCATGCTCTCTGAATTTAAAAAGCTTGTCTGTGTCACCACTCAACTTTTGCATTTTTTTTTTTTTTGGCTTTCCTTTTCCTTCTTCCCCTCAGACTTGCAACAAAGCACGCTGTTGCTGTGCACTAACACAACGGCACGTCGATCCCAAGAGACCCCACAGACAGGACTTGTGCGGCAGATGCAAAGGCAAGCGACTGTCCTGCGACAGCACATTCAGCTTCAAATACATCATCTGAGCAGCATCCCAACTGAACTTTGCCCTGTAGCTCATCTACACGAGTTCTGTGTGGGGCATCTTCAGCCCACGTCATTATTATAATCAACATATATTTGATGTTTCAGTACTTTATTTCATGCCTGTTTTGTGTTGATGAAAATGATGGTAAGCACCACACGCTTTAGTGTAATAAATGGCTATATTGCATTTTGTACGGAAGCATTCTTTCGATTAAAACACTGATTTTCATCAGCTGACTTGAAGGACGGATGATGAAAATCCTTCAGTCAAAATCTTTCACATGAGTTGGAGTCTTAACCTGTTTCCTTAGGAAAGTAATGCTGAATTTTCAATTGATGTTTCAGTTCAGAGATGTGGGAAATGTTTAAGATTTGAAACTGTGCGTGTGCAGTGAGTGAAACTGGAAGACTGATGTTAAAGCCTCCTCTGACCCTTTGACAGGGGATTCAAGAATAAGAACTCGGTGAGATTAAATGTGTAGGTTTCTGCACTATAAAAAGTATTTAAAGGAACCTATTCCCACCATTTAAGTTAACGTATAATTGCAAGATTTAAAAAACAAACAAAACAAAACTGACTACACTTTTAAAATTGGATTGACATGTTAATATATGCATCCTTTAATATTGGGTCATTTAAACTCTAGTTTTGGCATTAACTGATTAAAAAAAAAACAAAATCAAGTTGAACTAAATACAATTGACTAACTTCATATTTCTTCACCTTGACATCAGGATTGTCAATGTTAAGTGGTTAAGATTGTGTATTAGAGAACCTGTAGGTTTAAGAAATATGACATCTCAAGTTTTAGAAATGCATTCCACCAAAGTAGTGATTTTGGGAATATTTTCAATAACAATATGACCAATAGTGGACTTGTGTACACAGTTAATGGAATATGCTGTGCTACTGCATGTAACTAATACTAGTCATATTTAGTAGTGATATTTGACCATCTTATCCCTCAGTTTGCTAAACTGATAAGTTTTATTTGATCAATCAGCTCTGCTAGAGAGGGCTTTTCATGTTTAGTTAATTACCAACAATTTCCTAATTTCTTAAATGCTACTACATTAACAAAAGCATGAAAAAGTCAAGTTGAAGCAAGTTCATTTTTAAAATTTTGGTCAACTTTTCAAATCTTTCATAAGGATGTAGCACAAAAAACTGTTTCATATTAAAACTAGCTGGAACAACTTAATTTTCACGTGTAATGAAATTAAACAGTTGCTTATGCTACCAATCATTGTGGTAATTAAAAATGTGTTTGATTGTAGAGGAAAAATCAAATCAGGCACAATACATAAACAATGAATCATATATGGGTCTAAATATTGAACATTTTCATTAAAACCTTCAATTTTGTTATGTGCACTAGATGATCAACCAGGAAATCCAGGGTCCCATAAGACTGCTTGTCTTCATTTAGAATCCCAAACCACAAACAGGAAACATGTTTTCACACTGAATAACTTGAGACCGAGCTCATTCTGTATGATTAGGTTTATTTATCCAGAGAGAAGGCTGGTATGTGAGTGAACAAGGAAAAAATGTATAATGCAGCTCTACATTAAAACATTTTCCAGGTAAATAATATCATTAAATAATTAAGAACAGCATTCAAATGTACCAGACAAGCAGGAGGAGAAAAAAAAAAAAGCTCTCTGAGGAATGAGTACAGTGACTGTTACAATGTGCCATGACAAGCTTTCCAAAAAGCATTCAGCTAACGGTTCATGTCCTGCAGTCACAGCAGCAAGTAGGGCCATTCTGAAAGTGTAGCGCAATTTCAACGACGGCCGTTTATCTCCTCGGGAAAAAAAAAAAAAAAACAGGATCAGGATGCGGCGGAGGGTGAGCGCTGCTTCGCAACATGATCAGCCGACACGGACAAACACAAACCTTAGTCTCCCCCTCGACAGGCTTTACATGGAGCCTGTTCTGGGGCGTGGTTCTGACAAAAAGATCACAGTGGAGAGAAGGAATGCATATGGACGTGGCTTGGCTGGATTGGTGGGGTCCAGCAGGAGATGGAGGCTACTTTTGATCTCCCATGCCATCACTATCATGAAACCAGACAGGTGGCTTGTCCCAAATGAGCACCAACCCCCCTTTGCAAGACCACAACCAAACAACCAAGGCAGCCTTTGGGAAATTTAGAAGTTTGTGTGATTGGATGACAAAGGTGGAGCGGATCATTAATGACTCAAATCTGGTCTTGGCTTTCTCTCATCACATTAGCTTTATACATACATCCTATTCGGATGAACAGTGCATTACACAAAAGTACAAGGGAAAAATACTGGTTTTACACTATACATTTTCTAAAATATATACAGAGTAAAATAAGTTATGTTTCCATAATGAGCTGTAGCCAGTCTGCACCTGTGTGCAATTATATGCATTTGTGTGTGAGCGTATACCAGAATATCCAATATATATCACACAGTCAAGAGTCTCTAAAGGCATCTACTTATTTGGTTAAAGAGTGAGTTTTGCGTGAAGGGGACCTCTCCTCTCAGAGCAGATCAATAAACAGATATATTTCTCTTTTTACACTCCCTGAAGGCAAACGTTTCCCACAGGGTTACAATTACATGTTAAATATCCTAACATTTACAACCTAGGATGTTAGCTCTAATAAAAAATACATTTCTCAAAAAAATATTCTTGCAGTGCTTTTCTCTTTCAAGCATGCGTTTGAAAACTTTTTTTTTTTTTTGTTAGTTTCTTCTTTTTAAACAAGATTTTTCTGAGTTTGCTTATGAATCTTGACGGTGCGTCCTCACACATACGACACCTCCTCTGGACTGTCTTAACATGCTTCAACACCATCTCCCAGCCCGGGGCCCCCGAGGA